GAAGTAAGCCAGAAAGATAAAGACCATTACAGTATACTAACACATATATATGGAATTTAGAAAGATGGTAACGATAACCCTATATGCAAAACAGAAAAAGAGACTCAGATGTATAGAACAGACTTGTGGACTCTCTGGGAGAAGGCGAGGGTGGGATGTTTCAAGAGAACAGCATCGAAACATGTATATTATCTAGGGTGAAACAGATCACCAGCCCAGGTTGGATGCATGAGACAAGTGCTCGGGCCTGGTGCACCGGGAAGACCCAGAGGGATGGGGTGGAGAAGGAAGTGGGAGGGGGGACCGGGATGGGGAACACATGTAAATCCATGGCTAATTCATTTCAATGTATGACAAAAACTCCTGCAATGTTGTAAGGTAATTAGCCTCCAACTAATAAAAAAAAATAAAATTAAAAAAAAAAAAAGAAAAGACTGATGCTGGGAAAGATTGAAGGCAAGAGGAGAAGGGGATGACAGAGGATGAGATGGTTGGATGGCATCACCGACTCAATGGACATGAGCTTGAGTAAACTCTGGGAGTTGGTGATGGACAGGGAGGTCTGGAGTGCTGCAATTCATGGGGTCACAAAGAGTCGGACACGACTGAGAGACTGAACTGAATCAGTGAAACACACAATCATTGCTATAAACAGTATATCAGTATAAACATACATTTATCCTGTGAAAACATACCCCTCAACGAGCTTTCACTGTATGCAGAAGACTTTTATAAAAATCCGTGCAGGTCCCCTGTGTCTGTCTGCAGTTTATGTGGAGAATCTGAAATGGAGCTCGTCATTTTCTCCAGCTCTGGTCACCCCAGCCCCCAGTATGCCTCCATCTAATCTGCCATCAGACTGGATATGATATTATCGTTTCAGTTACTACCAACCCTCAAATTAATTCTTCCCTCATCCCTCAAATATTTATTTCTAACAATTACTGGTGCAGATGGAGAAATCAGAGCTGCTGTAGACACTAGAGGAAACAGATCTCAACTTTCGTCTTTTTTCTTGCTAGTCTGAGGATGATGTTCTAGAAGTTAATGAGATAACAAAGATTTGTTTTTATACCTTGATTTTATAAATCTCATATTCAACTTCTTTTAACACCACTTTCTTATTTCTCAGCTATATAAAGAGACAAAAATTTTGAAAATAATAAAATCTGAAGTAAAAGTCAACAGTTTTTCTATATGGACTTATGAAGCTCAATCATATATGAGTCACTAAACATGTCTTATTAGTTTTCTAAATTTTTCCTGAGAAGGGCAAATGTCTGAAAAATCAGAAGCACCATACAGAGGCAAAGAAAGATCTACCAGGCTCTGTCAGAGCTATTTAAAGGTATATAATACCCTCCTAGGTCATAAGAGAATTATAAGTGCGCCTGGGTAAAGAATCTTCTTGAGAGAACCTAAAAAGTGGACTTAAGTATTGTTCTAGAAGTTGTCTGCAGTCAACTTAAGATAAACAGTGAAATTAGCTAAAATTAAAAGTCCAAGATAAATGCACTTTATAACCTCCTCCTATAAATATTTCTACCTACCATTTATTTTTATATGCCCTTGGTAAATTTCAGTGAAGAATTTCACAAGATGTTAAACAACACAAACTCAAAGTAAAAGAGATGTCCAATGCCAGCATTTTAGTTTATTCGTTCATTCAAAAAACTTAATGTGTGCCTGTGAGTCACATATGCTCTTCTAGGTGCTAGAAAGATATGTAATAATTCTATGTAATAATGAACAAAACAAAGTTCATGCCCTCAGAGAACTTACATTCTAGTAAGAGGAGACAGGTTTACAAGAAGGGCTATTAAATATTAAATGCCGTGGAGGAGAATCAGTAGGAAAAGGGCATGCAGATTGCTATTTAATATAGCAGTCAGAAAAGCTTCTCTGTTCTAGTGATACCTGAGCAAATCTGATGAATGCGAAGGTCCAGAATTCCAGGCAGAGAAAATGCAAAGCGCAAAGGTCCCACACCAGAGCCCGCTTGCCAACTGCAGAAGCAGAGAGAGTGTGGCCCCAGCACTCGGTTAGGGTGGGAGCCAAGGGACGCAGGCAGGAGGCAGGCACAGAGGGGTCCAGGCCTTTGAAGGCCATTTTCAGGGTCTGGGCATCTCGTGTGAGAGCCATGGGAAGTCACTGCGGGACTGGGAGCTGAAATGGTCCTATTTACCATTTTTTAGAAGATTACTAACAGTGTGAGGAGAACAGAGAGTAGAGGAACAAAGGCTGAAGCAGGAAGACCAGTGCAATCTAGACCACAATGTGCTCAGAGGAATATTTTAACTTCTTTGTGTACAGGTTGTGTTTCATTATGCAACCAATGTGTGTGTTAGTTGCTCAGTCGTGTCCGACTCTCTGCAACCCCATGGACTGCAGCCCGCCCGGCTTCTCTGTCCCTGAGATTCTCCAGGCAAGTCAGGATACAGAAGTTTCTCATATTATTTCACAACAGCAGTAGTCAAAACCCATGTAACGAATATTTCTGAAAGATGATAAATCCAAATAAAAATACACTGCAAACCATAATTCATCTCTACTCTCAGACTTCTGTTCCGTAACTTATGATATCATGAAGACGGGCTCTCAATCACTCTCCTACCTCCCATTTCCTTAAATTCGGCAAACACTGTGTCTAACAGCTGCCTCATTGAAACCCTGTGGTTAGCAATGTCAGTTATACAAAGCCAGGAAAACCACCACACTCCGCACACCTTTCAGGACTTTCAGCCATGCTCAAGTGTTATTAATTGGTTTAAAAGGGTGTCAGAAACGCATGCTTTCCTCCACACTTTGGTGATTTCATCCTTTGCTCAGAGCACTCTGATAAATTAAATCATCCTGGCTGTGTCAGGAATCGCAGCTGGTGTTGTCACAGTACTGCTCTTTGAGGATGAACAAGCGGTACAAAAAAAGATACTAAATCCTGCTCTTCAAAAATCTCGTTTTCGGCATCTTGTATGATGTTACTAGGCAGGATTTTAAAGCAAAAATAAATGTTACAATTCACTTCGGTTTTGCGGAAACCTAAGTCCACTTACCAAAAAAAAAAAAACCTGATGGCTTTTTTTCTTTCCAAATAGCAGGCAGCTTTTACAGTAGGGAAGGGAACTGGGGTTGGGGGTGGGGAGAAGCTATTAAAATGGACAATCCCGCCTTTCCCTTACCGGTGGAGCCTTAATGGAGGGGAACCAGGCAGGAACGGAGGGACTGTTAGAGCTTCAGATACTGAAAAGGACTCATCACCCTCACTGAATAGTGCGGAGAATCTGCCTCATTACCTCCTACTAACAAGTAAGGAGATTCCCCTCTCTGGGGGCAGGCCTTGCTATACCAACATCCACTACAGACTTGATCTCAACCAACCCCTCTCTCCTTTTCCCTTTCCTTCAATCACAAACCCCTATTTCATTTTTGGTTTGTTTCATTTTTATTAAACGTAAGACGTTCTTGCAAACTGCCTGAAAACCATTCCCAGGATAAGAAGAGATAGAAATAAATAATAAAATAAATCAAGATTTTTCTCTAGAGCCAAATTTAAATATACAGGCGGAGCCAGATGATGAAAAGGGGTGTGTGGGTGTCTATCGCAAAATTTTTCAGTCTCCAGGAGAGAAAACGTTACAGAAGGCTAAAGAGATGTGAGAACCGTGTGTGTGTGTGTGTGTGTGTGTAAATCATTCCCCAGGCTAAAAGGATTTGAGAACCGTGTGTGTGTGTATACACAATCATCCCCAGGGCAGAGGGGAAATTCACGAAGGGAGGAGAAGAAAAGGATCAATCGAGGCAGTCTCTCAATCCCACCCCTCCCGCCCGCTCCCACCCCACTGCAGTACTCTGCGCTTACGAGAAAGCTCATCACCCAAAGGGCAGATTCTCGAAACCAAAGCAAAGCCCCAGTCCTGGGCAGGCAGGCTGTGGAGGTGGGGGGTGGGTAACAGGCGATGGAAAACCATCTGGCTAGGGATTGCGCGAGGCGGCCAGCGAAATCAGAAGAGTCGCCGGCGGAGATGGGAAGGCAGGGCCGGGCTCCCGGGACCTACCTGGAGCGGCGACTGTGGAGGATGCCCCGGGCACCTCCGGCCTCTCTTCCTCGGCTTCCTCCCGCTGCCGCTGCTGCTGCTGCTGGATGAGGCTGAGGTCGGAGCGGCTGAGCTCGGCTCTGGCGGCCGCGGGGACCAGCCTCGCCTTCAGCAGCACCGCGGCCAGGCCGAGGAGCAGGGTGCAAGGGACGCGCCGGCTGAGCCTCGCCATGGCCGAGAGCCAGAGGGCCGCGGCGGCATATTGCGGAGCTGCGGGCGGCGGCGGGCGCCAGGGCTGCGGGCTCCGCCTGCGCCCGCCCGCTCGCGCCCCCTCGCGCAGTCTGCCTCGCACTCGCTCAGCAGAAGGAGGCCGCGGAGGCGGAGGGGACGCCGCGGGAGGAGGGGGAAGTTAGCATCCTCGCGCACGTGATGCGGGAGGCGGGACGAACCCGGCGCCAGGGACCGCGTCTCCGCGGTCAGCCCGGGGCTGGGCTGCTCCGAGGGCGCGCACCGGCGGGGTGGTGGGGCGCCAGGCGACTGATGGCCTCCGAGGGTAAACGAAAAAGGAGAGCCTTTCAGGGGGCTGGCAGACCAGGTCCTCAAGCCCCTACCGAGACACTAAGAAATTCTGCAGAAAGTGGAATAAAATTCCCTCCACCTGACCGCAAAGTAGAAGAGCAGGTGATATTAGCATATTAATCACCCTCCTACAACACACCAACGAATGCAAAAGCCAGGATCTCTTAACCATATGGACTTTGGGGTATCGCGGCCATCATTGGTTAGCTCGAAATTAAACTACAGTTCTCCAGATTTTGATTAAACTTCCTTTTTCTTCCCAAATAGAATTTTCTTTCTGTATCATATAATGTCCTTAATTACATTCTGTCTAATTATAGTCTACAGTTTTCATTTGCTCAAAAAATATTTTTCTAAATGCCTACGAGATGCTTACCGTGTACGTTCCAATATTTTGATCAGGATTTGAATAAGCAAGATAGAATCCCTGCATTCTAGGAGCTCACTACCTGTTAGGGCAGAGGAACATAAAAGCAAATGATAATCCAAGGTGATGAAGAAACACTACAACACGCAGAAATTACATCAAATTGGAAGAAATTAACAATGTGGTATATGGAAGGGGGCTATGAAACACTAGGAGAGGTGGGGTTGAAAGATTATGAGTTCCACACATAGGTGGGTGCAACCAGGTCATCTAAAAAGTGGAGTTGTGTGTGTGTGTGTTTGTGTATACACCTAGAGGTAACAGTGCAGTGTGCTTGGAAAATTGTGAACAATGATTGTCATGGAGTGAGTGTTTTAGATCGAAAAGGACAGTGGAGATCAGGTCATTAAAAAAAAAAAAAACCAGCAAACACTTCTATAGTACATAGTGTGGAGGCACTGTTCAAGCACTTTATACACATTAACTCCTGTTACATTAACCTTAAAGAAGACTGAGCACCGGTGAATTGATGCTTTCGAACTGTGGCACTGGTGAAGACTCTTGAGAGTCCTTTGGACAGCAAGGAGATTAAACCAGTCAATCCTAAAGGAAATCAACCATGGATTCACTGGAAGGACTGATGCTGAAGTTGAAGCTCCAATACTTTGGCCACCTGATGCAGAGTCGACTCATTGGAAAGACTGATGCTGGGAAAAATTGGGGGCAAGTGGGGAAGGTGGCAACAGAGGATGAGATGGCTGAATGGCCATCATTAACTCAACGGACCTGCGTTTGAACAAACTCAGAGATAGTGAAGCCCGGCATGTGCAGTTCATGGGGTCAGAGTCAGACACGGCTTAGTGACTGAACATTAACCTTGGATGTTACATAAGGAAACTGAAATTTACACTTCAAGTGATTATGAAATAGTGAAAGAAATTAATCAGGGGAGGGACTTGCTGCCAGTCTGTTTCAAAGGATGACTATGCTATCAGTATGGAAGATGGATTTTTGAGGGGTACACTGGCGGAGAGGAGGCCGGTGTAGTGGTGTTTGCAAAAGCCAGTGAGAAAATACTGAAGGCCAGTGAGAGTGGAAAAGAGAGGAAAGGTGTAGAAAAAGAATGAGAGATTCAGTATGTAGGGCTAGAATCAGCAGACATGGTTGACTGATATGGAGAAGTGAGGAGAAAGTTATGTGCAGTATGATTCAAGTTGCCAAACTGAGATTTTGGCTGCTTAAGACATTTTCAAATTAGCTGGTACTACTGACTACAGAATCAGTGATAAGCCGTGGCCTGGTCAGCTGTAGTCTCTGTATTTGGAGTTCCTCTGGGACATCTCATCATATAGTGTAAATAAAATCTACGACATCACTTCCTTTACCCTCATTCTAGATTCAGCTGATCTGGCTGAGTGGACAGTCCCTTTCCACACTCACCACTCTTTTGTGTTCCTCCCAATTTTCCCAACATGCTGGAAAAGAACAAATTTCTCACTCATGTAAAATTATTCTTTGGTCAAAGATATGAAACTAGTTCCATAAAAAATAATAGGCATTCTACACACGTTATCACATATTCTTAGAGCAGTTCTACAAATTAGCTCTCATTTTCTTTTCAAAAAGACTGATGCTGGGAAGGATTGAGGGCAAGGAGAGAAGGGGGTGACCAAGGGTTAGATGATTGGATGGCATCACCGACTTGATGGACTCAAGTTTGAGCAAACTTCAGGAAATAGTGGAGGACAGAGCAGCCTGGCATGCTGCAGTCCATGAGGTTGCAAAGAGCTGGACATAACTTAGTGATGAACAACAACATCCTGTTTCGTAAATGGAAACACTTAAGATCAGAGCAGCAACTGTCTTGCCCAAGGCTATACTAATATGTGCCTTTAACTTTCTGCACTGTTTGAAACCTGAAATGAACTTACATTGTTTCTTGGTGATTTTTAGGCAAAAATAAACTCGATGGCCTACATAATTTTTGGAAGAGAAATGCCAAAACGAGGGCCCTCACACTAAATACCACTATTCCATCATGGTTTTGCCTCACCTGTATGAGCAGGAGCTACTGGGGGGTGAGGTGAGGCTTGAATGCAGTCTTTAATTAGTTTCATCAAGCTGTGTTGTATTTTCTTCCAATTTACCTCTCCTCTTGGAGAGAAAAAAGGGGAAAATGGAAATGGCTCAAGATTCCTGACTAGCAGATCAGAAGGAAAGGAATGTTGCCAGAATTTTCTGTCATCCTACCTTATGGTGGCCAAGTCATGTTTAATATATTAGAAACTGACCTTCCAGAGGCAAAGTTGCTGATTTCACAGCCACCAATGGAGGAGGATGGGTGTGATACCCTTCAGTACTATAGACTATTTGAAGAAACAAGAATAATCAAGATGGTTTTTAAATGACTTTTAAATGCTCCATTACGCATGGTTTATGCTTTATTTTTGTGCAATATACAAAAGCCATATTATTTGATGCAATCAGGGCTAATAGTTGAATCAAAGAAGTAGGTCAAGAGACAAAAATCAATATATTTTAAACATATTTTAAAATAAGCAGATATATATTCACTTACCAACCTTTTGATGTAGGGTCAATCATATCTTTTTTTTAAACCAAACCCCAAGGGTTTGAAGTAGTAAACCACTATTACAATGCATGCCTATTAGTTGAAGTTTTCGGTTAAGTGGAAGTTCTTAAAAACTCTTGTCAAGCAATTTGAATGCCAAATCTTTCTATTTGTAATTTCTCTCCAGTTTTACAACTTCCTGACCCACTTTTTTTTCACAGAAAAACATACTTCATTTAAATTTATATTTCATCCATTCCTCACAACACACAAAACTGCCAAAAAAACAACTGTGTAAAGAAACATAACTGACTTTTGGCATAGATACAGGCCAACTGATGGGGACAAAACCAAGTAGATGTGGATGAAGGGGTGTCCTGCTAACTGCATGTACTTTACCTGTCAGCCAGTGTGTTTTACAAAGCAATGGAAGATGCTAGTTAGTCTAGGAAATTATTTTCAATTCTTAATCCATGATAGTATTCATGTTTATGGTGTTATTCAGTCACTAAGTCATGTCCAACTCTGTGACCCCATAGACTGCAGCACACCAGGCTCCTCTGTCTTCCTCTCTCTTGGAGTTTGCTCACATTCATGTCCATTGAGTCAGGGATGCTATCCAACCATCTCCTCCTCTGCCAGCCCCTTCTCCCTCTGCCTTCAATCTTTCCTAGCATCAGGGTCTTTTCCAGAGTTGGCTCTTTGCATCAGGTCGCCAAAGTATTGGAGCATCAGCAACAGTCCTTGCAATGAATATTCAGGGTCCATAGCCTTTAGGATTGACTGGTCTGATCTCCCTGCAGTCCAAGGGACTCTCAAGAGTCTTCTCCAACACCACGGTTCAAAAACATCACTTCTCCAGTGCTCAGCTTTCCTTATGGTCCAACTCTCACATATAATGTAATCACTAATGTTAGAACTTTGTTTTTATAAATATACTGCAGGAGCCATCAGAAAGCAGAGAATAATACCATACACATACTATATTATTCCCTGCTTATTATCTGATTATTCCCTGCTTAAGATCTCCTGGTACTTCACTATTGCTCTTAGCAAAACATCCAAAATCCCCAACAAATTGACAAAGCCCTTTACAATATATCCTTTGACTATGCAGGCTCATCTTTTGACATTTCCTATATAAATACAGAGATGGGGGTTCTTGGGAGGAGAGGAGGGAAGGGAAGGGTTTATTTTATTCCCTTGAGCTAGAACTGTATTATTTGGACTGCAGATACTGATTTCCTCTCTCTCTTGGAGTTTGCTCACATTCATGTCCATTGAGTCAGGGATGCTATCCAACCATCTCCTCCTCTGCCAGCCCCTTCTCCCTCTGCCTTCAATCTTTCCTAGCATCAGGGTCTTTTCCAGAGTTGGCTCTTTGCATCAGGTCGCCAAAGTATTGGAGCATCAGCAACAGTCCTTGCAATGAATATTCAGGGTCCATAGCCTTTAGGATTGACTGGTCTGATCTCCCTGCAGTCCAAGGGACTCTCAAGAGTCTTCTCCAACACCACGGTTCAAAAACATCACTTCTCCAGTGCTCAGCTTTCCTTATGGTCCAACTCTCACATATAATGTAATCACTAATGTTAGAACTTTGTTTTTATAAATATACTGCAGGAGCCATCAGAAAGCAGAGAATAATACCATACACATACTATATTATTCCCTGCTTATTATCTGATTATTCCCTGCTTAAGATCTCCTTATTGCTCTTAGCAAAACATCCAAAATCCCCAACAAATTGACAAAGCCCTTTACAATATATCCTTTGACTATGCAGGCTCATCTTTTGACATTTCCTATATAAATACAGAGATGGGGGTTCTTGGGAGGAGAGGAGGGAAGGGAAGGGTTTATTTTATTCCCTTGAGCTAGAACTGTATTATTTGGACTGCAGATACTGATTTCCTCTGCCTGGACCTCTACTCCCTCATGTCTTTGTCTGACAAGCCCCCACAGACACTGAAGTTAGCTTGTATATTACTTTCTTGAGGCTACTTTGCCTAATAGCCTTAGCTTTGATTAGGCTATGAACTTTCACCACACCTCTTATTTCCCCTTAGGACTCTTATTACATAAAACAGATATTTTCTTGCCTGTATCCTCATTAGTGTAGGTTCCACAAAAACCAGGGCCATCATGTTCACAGCTGTATCTCCAGTTCCTGCCACAAGGCCCAACACCGACTGTTTGGTAACTTGGCTGATTGAATCAACAAGTCAAAATTTTTCTTGCTTGAGCATAATATGTTTATTACAGCAGGTTGGTAGACAAGTAGATAGATTTCAATTTTTTATGAGTTTTTATTGGAATATAGTTACTTTACAATGTTGTGTTGGTTTCTGCTGTACTGTAAAGTGAATCAGCCATATGTTTACATTTACCCCTCTGTTTTTGGATTTCCTTCCCATTACATCACCACAGAGCATGGCATAGATTTCTCTAAGCTATACAGTAGGTTCTCATTAGTTATCTATGTTAGACCCAGTATCAAGTAGTGTATATACGTTAACCTCCACCTCCCAACTAACACTCCTAAGAATTGGGACTTTTAAAGAGATGTGACTTTTAAAGAGGTCATCCTTTTAGTGCATTGTTGCTGGCTCCTGTGATTAAAAAAACAACATCATAGAAGGAAAACAGAACATCCATGCACAAAAGTGGCACCACATGCTCAAGTTTATTGAACAGACACAAGTTACATACTGGAAACTAGTAAGAAGAACACTGTACCAGTTTTCACTAACTCAAATCAAGTTAGCAAATCATAAATTTTAGAACACACTCATTTTATGCCTCACCCAATGTGGGTGATCACAAGAGAGCTAAAGAAAGAAAATGACTTTCTATGTTACCTAGGTAGGAAATTAATTGATATACACAACTTCCAAGTAACTTTAAGATACTGCAAAGTGTTTCAAAATTAGCAGGGAATAGTTCACGTTTAGCCTGAAATAAAGTGTAGAATGAATAAAGGGTAGAAGGACCTTTTAGGGGCAAATAACTTCATTCATATATCCATCTCAGAATCCCTCCTTCCTGCTAACAAAAATACTAATAAATTCTTTTAGATTAGGTTTACTAAATTAGACTTTGAAATATCTAGGTTTGGTTATATTGTTATATTGCACTTGAGAAGAATGACAGCAAAAAAAAAATCAAAGATTCAGTACCTCTGCCAAGAAATTCATTATGTATGAGAAATTACAATGAAATACAAGCATACATGCATGCTACATGTTCATACGTTCATTGTCCAAACTAGCCTACCAACAAGTTAAAAGAAATACTCTCTACAACACTGAGCATTACATCATTTCATTCGCTATTTTTGATCTTATATTCAATTTTCAAATTTTGTATTTTTGTTATTAATCAAACTATCACATATATAAGCTATCCAAGAGCACTAACACAGTGATACTGAGATAAGCAACAGTTGTACACAAATATTCCAAGAATGGCTTATTCTTTGCAAGCTGAACACTACATTCTGTAACACAGGAACATCTATCAATTTACAGACTGTATGCCTTATAAAAACCCCGCTGATTATACACTATACTTTTCCCACATAAATCTCTCTTAGGGTTATGATTCACTATCAGAAATCTTTCACATCCTATTAAAGAAGTCAGTATAGCCTCTAACACTTGAATTTACTCTTTATATAAAGTATTAATGAGAATTTACTATGAATAATTAGTTTCAAAACAGAACTGTGGCACTAATATTTTGATTAACTGTTTTACAACTCAGTATTAAGAACTTAATCAGAATTACAATAATCACTAATTACAACAGAAAGCTAAAGGGAAGAAAAGGAAAGAGCATCCCTCACACAAATGTTTCTCAAAATATTAAGTCTGAAATAAATGCCTACATAAGAAATCAACAGCATAATCAATTTCTCACCAGTATCAAATGTTTTATGATATCCCCAACTCCAACGATATGTGATTTCTTAAACTGAATCAGATTATAGGAATTTTACAGTCAAAACAGCTTTCAGTTCTCAATAAAGCACAAATACAGCAGTGATTATTTTTTGACATTTTAACCAAAACATTCACGTTACTTTAATCCCGACATTTTGCCAAATATTTTCTTCAAAGACTAGGTTGTTAGTCTTCGAAGACTAGACTACCATATGTTGTAGAGATAAAATTTTCTTTCTTTTTTTTTAAAAGAAAATACTATTGCTTTAAACTACAGTTCATAAGAGCAATTTAAAACAACATGTTAATTTTCATGACAAGACCCTTCAGTCTCCTCCAGTCTAATGCTCTCCCAACTGCGCAATCTTGGCTCCTTCTTCAATCTCTCATAAAAGATTATATCTTGAGAGAAGAGGCCACAAAAGGAACAGATTGTGCAAAAGCAAATAGTAACATTTAACTTTTTGAAAGAGTGACTTTCTATCTAACAGATATTTTCAGGAATGAGTGGTATTAGATGGGAAAACAGGTGAGGTAAACGCTGTTCTAGACCAACTTAGCAACTGTCTGGTGGCAGGCCCTATGATAAAAAAGTTTTTACTTAAAAAACTTTAAATTTATTGGTAACAAAAATACTTATTGTATATGACTACCTACAATCTTTTAAGCTACTAGTAAAGTCTATATTACAAAACCAATTAACTTTGAAAATCACTAAAGCTAAATATAGGGTCTTGTCAATGTTCTAACTTGTACAACTCACCTACATATGCCTCTATTTTATGAATGTATTCTAGTTTAGCCACTTGTGTAAGGAGTTATAACACAAGCCATGGCAAGAAAATTTCAATTATTTTTAAAACATGGAAAAATATTCAATTATCTAAGGGAAATATTTATCATCGCCTAATGAAGGCAGTAGTTAAAAAGCTATTGAACTCTCAATTTCTAATGCACAACATGATGTAATTACACAAAAATAGGTATAATTAACAGTTATCCCCAGGCCTAGAGGAACTGTGAATAATTCACATAATCTTCTAGAAGATTCATCACCCTACAGACTTAAAAAACTACAACTTGCCCACCTGTACATCTTTTACTTGAAAATCCTAGAAAAGTAGTTTATATTAATAAGACTAAGAAAATTTTAAAAGGTTTCCAATAACTTGAATTGCCTATAAAATAACCTCTAAGAAGTTATGATGATAGCTGAGACTGGTTTTACATTTTATACCTGGTTTCAACTGAGGTAATATCCATGCGAGTAGCATCATGCTATTGCTAGAAGTAAACCAGTGAGCTACCTTAAGAATTTCAATTCCATGCATTTCTCGTGGGATTCAAAGATTGAGTGCACATTCTTATAAACTGTAAAGTTTTCTCATTGATCTTGACACATTCTCAATAACAATTTTGAAAATATAAGGAAAAATACATATATAGGAGAAAAATAAATTAATCCCAACTAAAAACTCTTGCTCTAATCTAAGAACAAACTATCAATAAGCAACTCTGTCAAAGAACTACCTTTTAATTTAAATGGTTTTTTTTTTTTTTTTGGTATTGTCTATAGCCAGACTAATGCAATAGAATACACTTTGGAAACGATTTCCAATTCCATATAGCTTCAAGCATCATGATGTTTAGCAGAAATTAAACAATTAAACAAAAGAGGCAATTCTGACTATAAAACTAGTTTTTAGTATAAGTTGACTTAAAGGATTTGAAATATAACTTATGTGTGTATTAGTTGCTCAGTCAAGTCCAACTCTTTGCAACACCATGGACCAAAGCCTGCCAGGCTCCTCTATCCATGGAATTTTCCAGGCAAGAGAACTCCAATACTGGAGTGGGTTGCCATGCCCTTATCCAGGTAGTCTTCTTGACTCAGGGATGGAACCCGCATCTCCTGCATTGCAGGTAGATTCTTTACTGCTGAGTTACCAGGAAAAACTAATCTTTTAGTATAAGGTGACTTAAAGAATTTGAAATAGAATTTAAACGTATACAAAATAAAATGTCATCAAATGGACTGTGGATAAAAATATAAATAAAAGTTTAATAGCATGTACTCAATTTTCACATTAAAACAAAAATCTGTACCTTTGCAGTTACAAGAAAGAGTTTTGATGGGATCATGCTTTTCTTCTTTTTTTTTTAAAGTCCTACCATATAGGTAATATTAAAATCCAAGTTTATACAGCTATGAAGTTAGCTTGAAAACTCAAGTGTAGTGTAACGTGTATTAATATTATGTATCTGCACAAAAGATGTGGATCCTAAGGTCCAAATTTGGATTGCTTTAAAACAACAAAAACGACGACAAACAAAATCCAACATACAAAATCAGAAACAGTAATTGTAGGAGGTACTATTTTAGATAAAGTGGTAATTCAGGTGCTATCTTATGTACATTGAAGAAGACCTATCACTTGAAATGTTATTTAAATACCTAAAAACACAAGTCAGTAGGTGTATTAAATGTATGTCTGAAATTAATTATAATGAAAAGGATGATAAATATTGTTCTCACTTTGTGGTTAATACCAATGGGCACCATCAGCAGTACAGTCTTGGAATTTTATTCCCCAGGAAGGAAATTAAAATCTAAACTGAAGTTGGAACTTCTAATGGATCAGGATGTAGCGTGACTTAAAAATTACAGTTAAGTTTCTGAGTTTCCTTCACCATTTTCATGAGGCTGAAGCTGTTCCCTTTCTTGTTCTTCTTGAGGTGGCCGTACACGCTTAAAAAAGCCCATCTGTCAGTTGAAAGAAAAAAACTAGCATCACTGCTACATCAATGAAGAATACAGAAAGTATTCTGAGTGACCATAATATGACCAAGAAAAGTTAAAATGGTACTTAGTTCAACTTTCCTTCCTTCAAATGATAAGGAGTGCTCATCATATATCATCATTAAAGGTTCCTCCTTTCTTTCTTCCCTCCCTTCTTCTTTTCTTCTGCTTCCCCTCCCTCCCTCTCTTCCTAAGTCCATCACTTACCCTGTACATTACGAAAACTAAAACAGCCAGTAACAACAATCCTGCTAGAACTGCTAAAATGATCACCCACACAGGTACAGGCATGGGTGCTGGCTGAATGCCCCAGGTGACATTAGTGGTAACCTGTTGGGGAGAAAAAATTTCTTGAGTCTTAAAAATAGTTCACTGAGTTATTCAACAAATATCTGAATATATACTATATTTTAAGTTAATGTTACTGACATTATTTTCTAGTATGTTATGTAGTATAGTTATCATTACACATCTGGCATGAATAGCATATAAACACATGAAACTCTCAACTTCAGGTTCACTTCTGACTGTCTCTGAAATGCTTTTTTAAATAATCTGACCACCCACTTTATGATGCATTGGTTTCATTTTAATCCTCCAATTAAAGATCTATAAAATGCCCTTACTTACCACAGTTAATTTCCAACTTTCTAACTTTGTGTTAGATTCTTTTGCCTTAAAGCAATAATGTTTAAAATGAGCAAGCTAACAGCTGAACCTATGAATGTTTCTTGTTATGAAGGGATTGGTTTTACTGTGATTTGTTATGGAAGGATAAACTTTATAATATTAAAATATTTACTTTTATAACTAGAACTTAACATTCTTTAGGCAAACCCAGAGCATGGTGATTTTAGTAAGACATGAATATCAGATCACATTATGCCTGTGGAAAAGAAAGAGAAACACAGTGAATCTTTAATAGTTATTCCATGTCAGACCTGTAGAAATCAAGTGGCATGCTGATGGTCTTTGCCACATTCGGTGTTTTTAATGGTTACTTAAAGGCAGACAGAAGTTAACAAATATTCACCATCTTTTATGCGCTGGTCAACCTGCATTAGACATAAACTGTATGTCATATGCATACACCTCACAACAGTGCTATCCAGTAAGTGACACCTCCAGTTGATGACTAGAAACAAAAGCAAACTCTTCTGACCTGATAAAAGGCATCTATGAAAAGCCCACAGCTAACACCATACTTACTGGTGAAAGAAAGGATGCTTTTCCTGTGAGATTAGGAACTGTACGACCATGTCCATTCATGATACTTCTACTCTACACTGTTCAGAAGGTTCTCGCCAGTGCAATTAAGCAAAAAAAAATATTAAATAAAAGGTATCCAGATCAGAAAGAAAAAAGTAAAACTATCTCTATTCAGATGATAGAATACTTACAGAAAACTTTAAAGAACCCACAATAAAACTACTAAAGCTAATAAACAAGTACATAAAAGGTACAGAACACAAGATCAATATACAAATGTGAATTATTTTTATATAAACTGGCAATGAAAAATAAGAAAATGAAAATTTTTTAAACATTCTATTTTAAACAGAATTCAAAAAGAATAAAATATATAGAAGCTACTTAACCAAGGAAATGTAAGACTTGTATACTGAAAATGACAAAGTATTTTTGAAATAAAGAAGATAGCTCATAGTCAAGAACTGAAAGACTTAACATCATAATAGCAATACTCTCAAAGCGATAGACAGAGCTAATAAAATTGCTATCAAAATCTCAACAAGTGTTTTAGTAGAAATGGACAAGCTGGTCCTAAAACTCACATGGAATTGCCAGGAACCCCAACTAGCCAGGGCTTTTCTTGTAGCTCAGTTGATAAAGAATCTGCCTGCAATACAGGAGACCTGGGTTTGATTCCTGGGTTGGGAAGATCCCCTGGAGAAGGAAATGGCAACCCACTCCAGTATTCTTGCCTGGAGAATCCCACGGACAGAGGAGCCTGGCGGGCTACAGTCCATGGGGTTGCAAAAGTCAGACACGACTGAGCAACTAAACCACCACCACCACCAACCAGCCAAAACACTCTTGAAAAAGCAGCAGCACTGGGAAGGGGGGCTCACACCCCTCAACTTCAAAACTTACTGCAGAAAAACAATAATCAAGAAATTTTGATACTGGCATTAAGCATACATGTATAGATCAATGGGACAGAGTTAAGAGTCAAGAAATAAACCCATATATTCACAGTCAATTCATTTTCAACAAGGGAGTCAGGACCATTTAAAGGGAAGAGCTAGGTCTTTCCAACAAATGATGTTGCAAGAACTGGAAAACCACATGCAAAAGAATGAACCTGGGCTTCTATTTCACACCATATACAAAAATTAACTCTGTATGGATCAGAGATATAAAAGTAAGAGCTAAGATTATAAAACTCAGAAAACCAGAAAACTTAGGTGTAAATCTCCAGGACTCTGGGGTAGACAATGGTTTTTAAAATATGACAGTAAAAATATAAGCAACACAAAAAGAAATATACTTGAAAAATTTGGACTTCTTCAAATTTAAAAGCTTTTTCGCATCAAAGGATACTATCAAGACAGTAAAAAGACAACTTACAGAATGAGAGAAAACATGTGCAGTAACAGCTCTGATCAGGGTAGAATCTAGAACACTTCATGACTCAACAAAAAGCAAACAACCCAATTTAAATACGAGCAAGTGGTTTGAATAGAGATTCCTCGAAAGAAGATATAGAAATGAAAAAATGCTCAGCACCATTAGGCATTAGGGAAATCCAGATAAAACTACAATGAGGTACTATGTCACTCCAATAAGGATGACTGCAGAAAAATCTTCTTTGAAGGCAAGAATGTGGAGAAATTGGGACCCTCTTACACTGCTGGTTGGGAATGTAAAATGGTACAACCACTTTGGAAAACAGTTTTTCAGTTCTTCAAAAGTTAAATCAAGTTTGGCCATATGACCATATGACCCAGCAATTGGATCCCTAGATTTATTCTCAAAAATATTAAAATATATGTTCACACAAAACCTTGTACATGTTTACAGTGGCACTATCCAAAATAGGCAAAAAGCGGAAACAACACAAACATTCATCAACTGCTGAATGCATAAACAAAATGTGGTATTATCCACAGAATGGAATATTATCTGGCCACAAAACGACTGAAGTACTAATGCGTGCTTCATGATGAACCTCGAAAACACTATGCTAAGTCAAAGAAACCAAACATAAAAGGCCACATTTTATATGATTTCGTTTATAGGAAATGTTCAAAATAGATGAATCTTTAGAACCAGAAAGTAGATTAGTGGTCTCCAGAGACGGGTGGTAGGGGAGAAGGCAGTGGCTGCTTAATGCACAGTGTTTCTTTTGGAAGTGATGAAAATATTTTGGGGTTAGATAATGATGTGAATGTTGTGAATATACTAGAGATTACTATATCGTGCATTTTAAAATGGGTAAAACGAGAAAAAAAATAAAATAAAATGGGTAAAACGGCAAATTTTATCTAAGTTTTATCTCAAATATTTTAAAAATGTGATTCTGTACGAGGACAGAACAGGATCAAAAGTGGGATGAAGGTAGAGGGTAGCTTCGAATTCACGTGGGTTGGTCAGGGAAGTCCAGTCTGCCACTGAAGAACAGCAGAAGGAGATGGGGGAGTTAAGCCAGAGATAGTTGGGCAAAGAGCATTTTAAGGGGAGAGCAATTTTCAAAATTAGGAGGTAGAAACAGGCTTGGGGCTCTCAGTTCAGTGAAAAGCAAGGCGACCAAAATGGGGAGGGCAGAGAAGGAGAGCAAAGGCAGGCAGCAAGGCAGAAGGGCCCAGATCCTGTTTGCCCCGAAGGCTGTTTAGGCTCTGGTTTTCTCCTGAGTTAGACGGGAAGACACGGGAGTGGCACAGTAGTAGTGTCAGTCGCTCAGTCATGTCTGACTGTGTGACCCCACAGACTGTAGCCCGCCAGGCTCCTCCGTCCATGGCATTCTCCAGGCAAGAATACTGGAGTGGGTTGCCATTCCCTTCTCCAGGGGATCTTCCCAACCCAGGGATCGAACCTGGGTCTCCTGCATTGCAGGGAGATTTTTTACTGTCTGAGCTATAGGGAAGTCCTTGGGAGTGACATGACTTGACCACTTTTTAAAAAGAGTCACTATGGCTTCTATGTGGCAAATACACTGTCATGGGGATAAGGGCAGAAACACGGAGTCTAACTGGAGATTTGGCAATAGTTCAAGTGCAAGAGGAAGGTGGCCTGGGTCAGATTGTGGCAGTGATACAGATGGCAACAAAGGGTCACTTTCTGTGTGTTCTGAAAGTAGATAATGACAGAATTTGCTGATATGAAGTTTAAGAGAAAGAAAAGAGTCAGGCACAATGCCCATGTTTTAGACAGAGAAACGAGTTGGTATTTACTAAAATGTGGGACACCACCGAAAGATTAGCCTTGGGAAAACTCAAGGGTATGTTCTTTGCATTAAGTGTAAGATTCCTATTAAATATTTAAGAAGAGTTCCAGTAGATAGTTGGATGATAAGAGTCTGGAGTTCAACGCAGAGGATTGGGTTGGAAATATAAATCAAACTCATCTATACAGAAATAGTACTTAATAGCCCTGAGAATGATTAAGGTCATCTCACAGGAACTGTGGGATATAACCTCTACAGTGACAGAAATCATCAGTGTGGATATACCTGCACTTCTCTAAGTGGTAGCCACTAGCCACATGTGGCCAATGAATACCTGAATACCTGAAAGGTGGGGTATTTACAAAACTGGACCAGAGACATAATGAACGGCTGCAAGTGGAACAGCAAGACATCTGAGCCCTAAAAATCCTCTCTGGAGCTTAAAAGCCTAGAAATGGAGATTAAGAAGTATAGAGAGTTGTGGTAGGAGGACAACCAAGAGAGTAGTGTTCTAGAAGTAAGACAGGAATGTTTCATAAAGGAGGAAGTGCTTAACTGTGCCCAAAAGTCACTGAGCACTTAAACTGAAAGAGAGCTAAGAAGAACCATGGAATCTGGAGATAGGAAAGTAACTGGTGACTGCTAGTGACCATAAACATCACACCAAGTGCTCTGCTAGCTATGGTCTGCAGATGTTAAATTTTAACATCTTTTAACATGCTAAATTTTAAGAACTGGAGTGACAAAGCTCTCTATAATATTATAGTCATTAGACAGGCTGACTCAACAAAAGATGATCATAATGTTAATTATTCTCACATTTTTTTGTTGAGGCCTTCCAGGTTTTTTCTACAGTACTGCACATAAGTTGCAAAGATTAGAGTGAGACCAAGAAAGAGGTCAGTTAAATGAGCACAGTCAGAAAAATAAGTTAGAATATAAAACATTTTTATTAGCAATCTATAAAGATAGATCCTTTGAATAAAATGTGGTGTTAATCCAGTTAGGAAGAGGAAAGTAAGAGGAGTGAATGGTGTTAAAATATATAGCTCTTTGCAGCACAGCTGTTGTTATTTTTGAAATGTTCTTTGGCATCAGTTCTATAATCACATAGTTTAAAACATTCAAAGTGCTAGTTGTTGGGATGGCACTTACCAAAGTGTGAACATCTCCTTCATTGAGGGTGAGATCCCGCTTCGTGATGAGATGGTTCCGGTCACCTTGCCCACCACTTGTATCATTCTTTTCAGTTGCTTGTGAATTTGAGATCTAGGATTACAATAATAAACTGGTGGTAAATAACAATGGAAAATATTTTGAATAAACATTTTGGCATAAGCTGTTACATGTGATTAAAATACAGCCACTAAAAATTTGGTATGAGAGAAAAATCACCACTTACTATATGGCTAAAACTAAGCACAGAAAATAAAGATGAGTCCTTAATAGGTGGGAAAAAATTACCTCTGCCTAGTCATCCTTTCCCCCCCTTGCATAGTGAGAGGAGAAATTGACAAAATATACAAAACAGTCTGAAATTTCACAGTGTACATCTGTGATGTGTGTCAAGAGTATACATTTTTTGTTTTCTTAACCCTCCTTTTTCCAAACTGCAACAGCTTCTTATCCAAAGATACATGCTAGGATGGAGAGGACTGTATCTAAAAGTAAATAGAATTCCATAAAATGATATTTTCTAGGTAAAGTTAAAAAAACCAAGAGTAAAATGTTAGATCTTATCCCAAAGACAAAAATTTGGACATCCAAACACCCTTGATATAATATCACATGTGCATAAACCACTATGTGATGAAACCAAAGTCAAACTGGATCACTTAAGAATATCTCCAGAGGCTCACTAAACACTACATAAATAAATGGTTCAGCAGAACATCAGAGAATTCATCCTTACTCATTACACAAATAAACAATCTAATTCATAGCATACTGGTTATGAACTAAAATATTTTTGCAGAATGGATTTATTACTATAACAATTGCTTTATTTTATGCATTTCTTTTACAGATTTAGAAAGAAAAGCAATAAAACATCAGCATAATAACAGTTGCTATGAAGCATATTACCTTAATTCTCAAAGGGTTAATCTCCATATCTGAAGTGCAGTTCATTGGCCCATCAATATCATATTGAAGGATGTACAACAAAGTGTTATTGTTATATTTGTAAGGCCACTGAAGATGTAGCATTGCCTTGCTGAATGAACTCGGACCATTGTTTCTCAGCTAATGAGGAAAAGAAAATGTAAATACTTTGGGCAAAATTCTATAATCCTTCCTCTACATCATCTTTAGGAATCCTGAAACAACAGCATTTGAATAACAGCAGAGTTTCCATAGTGACTCTAATATTATATCATGATCATTAGTATGCAAAAGAATCAAACTCAATATATGCCTCCGAGTAGGGCAGTATGTGTCAGGATAAAAATATAAACAAAAGAGGAAAACATGAAAAAGTTACTGATAAGTGGCATAGAAAATTTCCTTCCTACAGAATCAAAATTTTACTCAACGACCTATCCCTTTTATCCCAGTACAACTAATCAGTTTTAAACAACAGTTTGTATAAATAGCTTTCTTTTACCACTTGAAGTTACCTGTCTAATGGAAATGAGGTTAAGAATGGGGAAAAAATTCTAAGAAACCTCTAGCACAAAATTAAACTATGCAGAGTTTACACAAAAGTTACATAGATTTGTTTTCTTTTTGTTTTTTGGACTTGTTTTTTAAAAGCAGCCTATCTGTTCGTTTCTCTGTTGCCTCTCTACCAGGTATCAATTAAATCCAACTGCAAACCTCATAGATGTGCTGAACAACTGGCCCAACATCTTCTTCAGTCTCAGGGTTCTCTTTGTACTTCCAATTTGGAATCGGAAGAAAGATATGATCAGGACTTGAGACTCTAAACAATGACCAAAGAAAACCTACCATGAATATCAAAATGATATGGTCAGTTCATTTTCAAAAGTACCTAGTATCCAAATGAATAAAATCAGAATTTAAAAAAAACACCAAAGACAAAAAAAATTACACTTGTATGTGTACATGGCACAGCTGGACATACAAACTCTTCTTTACTGAATCCAGTGTAACAGATGAATTGGTAACAGGCGAACATTTTTGCATAAAGTTCAGTAACTTAATTTTATGCTGCTTTTGCCATATCTGGTTTATTACCAGACAATTATCAAATAAATATTTGGGGCTTTGGAATACACCCAGAGCCTTCTTATTTCTACAGAAACTATAGTTCTAGTAAAATCACCATGAAACATGGAACATACACTATACAAAAGAAGTTAGGGGGCCTAAGACTTGGACATATGTTATGTGCTGCGCTTGGTCGCTCAGTCGTGTCTGACTATCTGTGACCCACTGCAGCCTGCCAGGCTCCTCTGTCCATGGGATTCTCCACGCAAGAACACTAGCATAAGTTGCCATGTCCTCCTCCAGGGGCTCTTCCCAATCGAGGGATCAAACCCAGGTCTCCCTTATTGCAGACGGATTCTTTATCGTCTGAGCCACCAGGGGAGCCCTGGACATATCTATACCTATGGCTGATTCATGTTGGTATTTGGCAGAAAACCAAATTACAAAATTACAAAATTACAAAACCAATTACAAAATTCTGTAAAGTAATTACCCTTCAATTAAAAAATAAATAAATTTTTTAAAACTAAAAAAAAAGTAACTACTTTTTAAAGTAGTTTAAATCATGAGAATAAGATACTCAACTGGGTAATCATACTGACCCTCTTATCTCAACAGCAGCTAAAACAGCAAGGTCAACTTTGTAAGATACAACCGGGCTTACTTTATCAAAAAGATTGGAGCTGAAAAAGAAAAAAAATAAATTTAGGGCTGAATTTGATGAGCATAATTATAATCAAAATCAAACAGAGGCAAATGCAGTGAAACTAAAAGTGAACAAATGAAAACAATAAAGAAATGACAAACTGCACAAAATAATTATTTTCATTAGCATTTAATTCTAAGAAGATGATTTTTATTTAACTTTTATTTTTGTATTTAAACTCAAAAATAATAAAATTATTCTTAGCATGTAAATATTGGCCTTAAAACTTGATAACTAAGTACTAAAATTTTAGTCTATCCTATTCCATAAATACTTAAGTATACTGAAAAACATATTCATAACAAATACTATTTCCTCAAAAGTTATTATAAACAGAAAAAGTTGTTTTCACACCTTTGAATTTGTAAATCAAATTTCACAGACGTATCCATCTCTGATTGCTGGTGGACACTGAAACGAAGCCCAGCTAAGAGCTAGACGGGGAAAAGAAGGTCAATGTTAGTGAGAAACATGTCAAACACGTGAAATTTCAAATCCAACGTCCAAAGAAAAAAGAATGGTCTAAAACAGGTTATTTCTGAACCTAAAATAAAACTGAAAGTACTCTAGCAAAAATAACTAAGCCTGCGGCTGCTGCTGCTGCTGACACGCTCCAGTCATGTCCGACTCTTTGCGACCCCGTGCGCTGCAGCATGCCAGGGTCCTATGTCTGTGGAATTCTCCAGGCAAGAACACTGGAGTGAGTTGCCATGCCCGTCTCCATAGGATCTTCTTGACCCAGGGATCGAACCCGTGTCTGCGTCTTCTGCATTACAGGCAGATTCTTTACCAGTGAGCCACCAGGGAAGCCCTAACTAAGTCTGATCTTCTATCAAATCCCTATTAATTAAGATACTCAGGCCAATCCATAAGGAAGCCTGTTTAACAACAATGATTAATCATATCTCCTTATAATATTAACTAATTATCTCCTTATAATGTCAACTAATACTAACTTTCTCAAAAATGCAAGAGGAACCACTGATTCAATGAAAGTAGAGTAGTTATGCACAAGATTTAGTGACAGGAAGCTAATACCTGAACTTGTGTTAACGGAACAGGAAGAAATAGATGGTTTACAAGACTGAGAGAGCCTGACTAAAAAGGAGAGAAGTAGGGCCAGAAGCAGAATTTCTCTACACCACCCACAAGTCCATCAATAACAAACATCTTAACTTCTGCAGGCAGAAAACTGTTATTTTAAAGAAAACAGCTACAAAGTTAGAGAAAGCAGGCTTCTTGGAAGTCATCTAAAAGACATCTAAAAATGGCCCTTCTAGGGGACTTCATCAAACCACCTCTCACTTCACAAAGCCGGGAGCCGGCCATAAGAATTAACCTGGAATGATCTTTCCTGAATGCACAGTGAGTAAAAAAGAGAGAATGAGTGTATGGGCAAATAAAAGGCATGTTCACTTCTTAATAAAACACTGCAATAAATACAAGTGAAAAATATAACTTTGAGGACTCTGTTCAAGTGCTCTTCCCCAAGAGACCATACATCTAGAAATAATTATGACTTTTAAGGGAAAAATATATGTAAAGAAATATGGAATATTTATTTTTATTGAAATATATTAATATTTGACACCCAACACTGTGTAAAGTTAAGGTAGACAACATGTTGATTTCATACATTACATGATTACCATTGCAGCAATAACTGTAACTCTGTCACATTACAAAATTATAACTTCTTTTCTTGTGGTTGGAATAATCAAGATCTAATCTCNTTGAACTGTGGTGTTGGAAAGACTCCAGAGTCCCTTGGACTGCAAGGAGACCAAACCAGTCAATCCTAAAGGAAATCAACACTGAATATTTACTGAAGGACTGATGCTGAAGCTGAAGCTCCAACACTCTGGCCACTTGATGTGAAGGGCCAACTCATTGAGAAAGACCCTGATACTGGGAAAGACTGAAGGCAGGAGGAAAAGGGGACGATAGAGGACGAGATGGTTGCATGGTGGCATTGACTCAATGGACATGAGTTTCAGTAAGCTCCAGGAGATAGCGAAGGACAGGGAAGCCCGGCATGCTGCAGTCCATGGGGTAGCAAGGAGTCAGATACAACTGAGCGTCTGAATAACAATGACCACAGATCCTCAAATTACCAATATCTATGTATTATTATTAATAAATTAAATTCTATTGAAAAGGTAACAAGAAATATACTGCTGCTTTTTTTCCCCTTGATACTAGCAATTCAAAAAGGTATATTTTGTCTCCTTTTTTTTTTCATTTATTTTTATTAGTTGGAGGCTAATTACTTTACAATATTGTAGTGGTTTTTGCCATACATTGACATGATTGTCTCCTTTTTTAGAAGATTTAGGAAGCAATCCACTGAGTGCTTCTTCTCAAGCATCTGGGCTCCGTTCTCCACCACCGAAAGAGAAGTCTGATCCAACCAATGTGCAATTCGATCCTACTGGGATGACCTCACAGGTTTCACGTTCATAAAGTGTGAAGTGAAAGTGTTAGTCATTCAGTTGTGTCTGACTCTTTGCAACCCTACAGACTGTAGCTCGCCAGGCTCCTCTGTCCATGGAATTCTCCAGGCAAGAATACTGGAGTGGGGAGCCATTCCCTTTTCCAGGGTATCTTCCCAGCCCAGGGATAGGACTTGGGCCTACCTGCATTGCAGGCAGATTCTTTATAGTCTGAGCCACCAGGGGAGCCCCAGTTAATGAGATCACTCTAACTCACCGAAGAAGAACAGTCTCGGTATTTGTCAGAGTAGCTTTGAGGATGCATTAAAGCATCAGTTTAAAATATCCAAGTTACAATCTCAGTCCTTAGTTTAAACCTGTTCTTATCCATTCACCAAACTGAAGGCAAAGAGCAGCTTACTGAATACAGGTAATGGCACAACTCACTACTTTAGTATCTTAATCAAAACTAAGCTCTAATAATCATTACATTCTAAATCAAAACCAACTGAAATACTATTTTTTTAAATAAATGTATTCATTTTAATTGGAGGCTAATTATTCCACAATACTGTAGTGGTTTTGCCATACATTGACATGAATCCACCATGGGTATACATGTGTTCCCCATCCTGAACCCCCCTCCCACCTCCTTCCCCATCCCATCCCTCAGGGTCATCCCAGAGCACCAAGCCCTGAGCACCCAGTCTTACGCATCGAACCTGGACCGGCGATCTGCCTCACATACAGTAATATACATGTTTCAATGCCACTCTCCCAGGTCATCCCGCCCTCGCCCTCTCCCACAGAGTCCAAAAGACTGTTCTATACATCTGTGTCTCTTTTGCTGTCTCGCATATAGGGTTATCATTACTATCTTTCTAAATTCCTTATATATGCACTAGTATACTGTATTGGTGTTTTTCTTTCTGGCTTATTTCACTCTGTATAATAGGCTCCAGTTTCATCCACCTCATCAGAACTGATTCAAATGTATTCTTTTTAGAGGCTGAGTAATATTCCATTGTGTATATACTATTTTGAAGTTTTTATTTAAAAAAGTTTCTATTAAAAAAAAAATTACTATGGGACTTCCCTGGTGGTCCAGTAGTTGAGAAGCTGCCTTGCAATGCAGGGGATACCGGTTCAATCCCAGGTCCTGGAAGATGCCATATGCTACAGAGCAGCTAGACCTATGCACCACAACTGCCGAGCCCATGCCCTAGAGCCCACGAGCCACAGCTACTTCTCCCACATGCTGCAGCTCCTGGAGCCCACGTTCCGCGACAGGAGAAGCCACCGCAGCGAGAAGTCCAAGCACCACAACAAGGTGTGGCCTCTGCTCACCACCACTGGAGGGCCCGCGTGCAGCAGCAGAGACCCACCGTAATCAAAACAGAAATACAAAATTACCAAACAAACGACTGTGGACAAACCCACAAAAAATATGCTAATCTCGATGAAAGAAAAAAGAGACCCATTTAATTAAAATGTCTTACTTGAGTTCCAGCCTTCATTGGGTTTCCAAGGTCACAAACCACCTGGCGGGTTTGGTTTTCTGTCTTAAACGCACAGGAAAGTCTTGCTAAGGCCTTTGATAGACAAAGAAAGAGGATTGAAGGGAAAATAAATTAATCACTAAAAAAAAAAAAGCAGAAGCCATACAAACTGTAAAGTTTCTAGACAATATCATACAGTTGGATGTTTGCGTTTCTTGCTTTACCAAACAAATAGATCTACTTGAGTAATGAGAGATATGGGGGAACCAGAACTGTGTTCAGTTGCCACATATAAATGCAAAAGTGTTTCTGGACGATCTCTAGAGGACTTAGACACATAACCATATTATTTCTGACAAATCATTTGATGGCCAGGCTTAGACACTATCCATCTGACCTTGTGTCAGGCACTTAGCTAGCAATTTTTATAAAAGTCATATCAATGCATTATGCAAAGTACTAGGCTTGAAAAGAATTATGTGAGACAAGCACTCTATTGTCTAGCAATTTAGCCTTAGGTAGAACAGCTAAGCTGTAGTATAATAAATAGGGTAGCTGCTCATTAATGTTAATATGAACCATGAGTGCATTTCGATTTTTAAAGAGGCAGCTTGCTTACTTCACTGTTGCGGACAACCCCGATGAAATCAGCCTGCAGTGGGATGGAAACGATGAGCTCGGCTTCATAGGCACCTTCTCCCTGATTCTGAGCCTTAACAATCAAGGTCAGAGGGTTGTCGTCCCCGATATAGATCTTCTTTTGATCACTACAAGTTAATATAAATCTAGTCAATGAAAAAGGACTGCGTAGCAAGAGCATGACTGTTCAAAGCACTGACATGTTCAACAACGTCTCAGGATATTTTGAGACTACTGCACAGATCAACACTGAACTGGAAATAGCAACTGGGTGCAAATTCAACGTTTCTCCCAATAAAAGAAAACACTGATGCCTTTGTCATATCACTATCACTCAAATCTTTTATGAAAATAATTTTATATCCCTTTGTATTTATTAATTTCCTGATTTTTTCTAAAAGTTGAACTAATCCCCTGGTCATGATACTTAAAATATTTGCTGTAATTTATACATTATATAAAATGGTAATACGTCCTTTAGTTAAGAGACAATCTTTAAGAGAATACAATGCTCCTTTGTGACACTACTCCATACTGATGAAAAGGGATCTGTTAACCTAGGCAGCTGGTGAAACACACAGCCTATTTTTCTAAAGCTCAACATTCACTCCTTTGCTGAAAATCATGCATTATCCTCCAACATAACTAATTCTCACTGCTATTACTTTAATAGAAAAATGTGCTCTTTCATTTCAATTTCTTATTATACAGTCTATTATTTGGAGCAAAACTTACCTATCTACAGAAACCTCCAGTTTGGGTTTACAGACATTGTCGTCACCACAGTCAAGTAGAATATGAGCCTAGAAAAAAGGTTTTTATTTTTTTCTACATGAATAAATACCAATACAGGTCACACACAGAGTGTATATTAATATATATATGGATGTATATGAATATACATGTATGTATTTATATACACTCAACTTATATATATACCTGAATGCAAAAGGGATCATGGCTGCCTGTTTTTAAACAGGTCAGCATTAGCTAGTAAGAATGAAAAGGAAGGGAAAGATTCATAGGGTATAATACAACTAGTTGGAACCTTTTAGGTCTATCTCAAATTAAAATTAACCTATTATGACTTTGGAATGAAGTGTAGAATAGAAAGTAATATTGAAATTAGAGTTCGGCTTTAGTCTGCCTCTGCAAAGTTGCGTGATCTTGGGCCAAAAAAGCTCCTTTACAGAATTTCTCATTATAGACTACGCCTCTTGAGAGCACAGAATAAGGAGTAAAAGAATAAGGAGCTGTGGATACATAGCAACAATTCAGACAGACAGACCAAATGGAACAGAAACTGGATGAAAGGAGTTCCACATTGTCATGGCCATCTGGAAAGAGAGAAAGAAAAAGGAACCAGAAGCATTAAGTTAGCAGATCCAAGACAGGTACAATAAGCAAACACCTCAACACTTTCTCCCTCTAGATAGGACCATATGACGTGTCAGCTGGAACATTATGGAAAACCCAGCAGAAAGACATAGTGGAGGAAGCAGAAGAAGAAGTTGGGCAGGATGTGAAATAAGAAACAAAAATTAATAAAAGAGGAAAGAAAAAATTATTAAGCCATTCTTGGTTTATCTACTGTTAATATCCAAAGGGCTTCGGGTCCTAAGGCAAACAGAAAAGAAAAAGATTTAAAGGGGAAAAATAGTGACAGGCTTTCTTGAAAACAACAACAAAACTGTATGCTTTCAAGTTACAAAGATACATGGCTTCCCAGAATAAAATAATATGATAGAGATCTTAACTGACAATGTAATTGGGATGAAACCCAACAATACATGTTAACTAATTCACTGACCTAGATGTTAACAGCTGCTATGTGCCTCAAGAAGTTGGGGGGAAAAGGCCAGGATCATTAGAAGAACTTTGAGGTAACTGCACAAGTCACACGAAAGACAATCAACTACTAACTTAGTTCATGAACTAAGGGTGGATTTAATGATATGTGATATGCTGTGTATTAAAAGTCCCAGCCAGAATGATGAGTATCTGAAGTTTGAAATGAGAAGTATTATGAAATATTAATAAACTACGATAAAGGGATATTTGACTACCATTCTACATTGAAGAAAAAGGATTAAGCTGGCATTGGTGCAACTACAGCATTAAAATACACTATCAGGAAAGAACAGCTTCAGAAACGGAAAAAAAGCACTATTTTCCATTCACAGAGAACTAAATCTCTACAGTTATATCCTTAGTATCTTACACAGAGCAAGAACTTAATACACATTTGAATGAACAACCAGAGGGCAGTTGGGGGCGGGGGGGTGCCGAGGTTGGGTTAAAAAGCCACTTTTAGTGCAGAAAGCACTAAGTCTGTAACTCCAAAGGATAACGGTACAGAAAGGAAAACTCAAGAGCTGCTATGTCCAATAGAGAAGCCACAGCAAGCTGCACGTGGCTTTCGAGCACTTGAAATGTACCTAGTATGACTGGGGCGGGGTGGGGGTGGGGGGTTACATTTCATTTAATATTAATTAACTTAAATTTAAAAACTGATACTTGATTCTGCCACTAGAAAACTTTTAGTATAACTTCTAAATGAAGACAAAATATTTCTGACAAAGCTTTAGCATCTGAATTGAGATGTGCTATAGTATAATACACTCTGGATTTTGAAGACAGTAAAAAACAATATAAAGAATTTCATAGAAAAACGTGACTATTTGGAAACATGGTTTTTAAAGAGGTAATTAAGTTAAAATGACATCGTTAGGGTGGGCCCTAATCCAATATGGTGGTGGTGCTGGTGAAGTCGCTAAGTCATGTCCAACTCTTGCAGCCACATGGACTGTAGCCTGCCAGGCTCCTCTGTCCATGGGATTTTCCAGGTAACAATACTGGAGTGGGTTGCCATTTCCTTCTCCACGGGATCTTCCCGACCCAGGAATTGAACCCCGGTCTCCTGTGTTGCAAGCAGATTCTTTATTGACTGAGCTATGAGGGAAGCCCGTAATCCAATATGACTGGTGCTTTATAAGGAGATTAGAACGCAGACACAGAGGGGAGGCCACATAAAGACACAGGGAGAAAGTGACCACTACAAGCCAGTGGGAAAAGCTCCAGTGGGAAAAGCTCCAGGGGAAACCAGCACTGCTCACACTTTGATCTCCGACTTTAAGCCTCCAGAATTGTGAGAAAATAAATTTCTATTATTTCACCACCCATTCTGTGGCACTTTGCAATAGCAGTCCTAGCAAACTAATACAGATATATTATTAAAATCACAGTCACCAGTTTTCTATTTTTTTAATGTTACTGATCAGTAAATTTAAGCTACGAATGTGTCTCACATTATATTTCTATTAGAAAGCAGTACCTTAAAGAGAGTGTACAGTAATTTAAAAAGTGAGTAATATGACCAGGGAAATAAAGGGCCATTTTAGAGAGAAGTAAATAAGCATGTTGGGGTAGGTAATTACAGAAATGAGAATACATAATAAGACTAAGAATACAGAAAGAAATGCCTAAGAGTAGGTAATGTCCTTGCCGGAACAAAAGTAGAACACATAGGAAACAGATTCAAACGATGAAGAAGGGGAGGTGGAGAAAGAGAAGAAAGTCAAATATTAAAGTTATTCTTTCCCTCAAAGCAGTTTCCAAAGTTAACCAATTTATAAGCTGCCTTTAAATTATATTGGTATTAAAGAGAATGGTGATTCCAGTAAACTAATGTTAACACTAATAAATAGTTTCCCAAAAATTCCAGAATTATCAACAGAAAATAATCATAACTCCTATATCAAAATGCATAATATAAAAGTAACAATTAACTTTTTAAAAAACTGTAAAACTGAACAACAGACTATAAGAGGCTCATATGTTCATTATTAAATTAATCAACGTAAGACTGTGCATCCCCTAAAAATATAAATTGTAGAAAATATGAACTAAGAACAATGTAAGTTCTATGCTAATGAGTAGTGGAAAGCAGCACCTATACTATTTACATGCAAAATGAAATATAAGATAGTTATGTAAAATAAATTATAAAATTAAAACTATAAAATATAGCTAACATATATAAAATATATTCCTTATAAAATTCTGTTGCTATATTTGATTTTATCAAAATAATGATTTACATACTATATATGCATATGTGTGTATATACACTAGTTTTTAAAATATAAATCAAAGATAACATAAACTTGTTTAGCAAAATACTAAAATACTATGTATTACTTGGCATTTTGTTGTTTTCCTTGAATTACTTTATTGTTTTATATATTCAAAATGTGACCTTGTCTTCCTCTGCAGGTAAGTTGAGTGGCTTTGAACGTCTCTTCCCCTCTGACTTCTGACTAAAAACGCAACATTATAGAAGCAATCCTTGTATGGCTGAGTCCCTTTGCTGTCCACCTGAAACTATCTTAATATTGTTAATCTGCTATACTCTAATGCAAAAATATTAAAAATATAAAATAAAAGCAAGCCTTTGTGCTATTTTAAAATACAAATTATAAGATTTTTTTAAAAGATTAAAGGATAAATTAATAAAGCACAGTACCTGTCGACTAACATTGGCCGGAGTAAATTGGTTAAGAATAGGTTGCAACCCTGTTGCATCAGCAGCTGTTCGATAATCCAACCAATACTCCATAAAAATAGTAATTGGAGTGAGTTTGTCTCTAAATTCAGATTCGTCCTAAAAATGCAAAAGCTTTGAATTAATTACAACATCAACCTAAGTAAGACATCAAGCTATCTGTAGAAATCCGTAAGCGCACAATATAAAGCCAGCTGTACGCACCCCTCGATCCAATTCTACCAAAACTCCCTGTAATACTACACTTACATAAGAAAAGGATATCCATAAAGAAGACTACCATTATCCACTGGGAATCCTTAACCAACTTTGTTTGTAATGTAATATTTGATTCACACAAAAATATATGAGACCTGTTAATAAAATGGGCACTCCAACACACACCCAATATAAATAATAACTAGGACATTACCTACACTGCTTAGGCTACCTACATGCTCTTTTCATCCCTTTGTCTGCCTTCCAGAGGGAATCATTCCATTAGCTTGCTCACAGTAGTTTTACTCTAGTTGTGTATGTCTCTAAAACAGCATGTTCTTCAGATTGCTTTTCCTGTTTATTTTAAAATGAGACCATACGTATTCTTCTGTTATTTGCTTCAACACTTTTTTAGAAGATTCATCCACATTGTTGCATGTAGCAAGGTTAATTTTTATTGTTGAGTAACTGTAGTGGGTAGTCTTTCCCTTCTCAGGGGATCTTCCCAACCCAGGGATGGAACCCAGGTCTCCCACATTGCAGGAAGGACTCTTTACCAGATGAGCCACAAGGGAAGCCCAAGAATACTGGAGTGGGTAGCCCACCCCTTCCCCAGGGGATCTTCCCAACCCAGGAATTGAACCAGGGTCTCCTGCACTGCAAGCAGATTCTTTACCAACTGAGCTATCAGGGATGCCCATGTTGAGTAATACTTATAATAAATCCACAGTTTAATAATTCTTTTTTGGATTTCTTTGGGTTTTTGGTTCATTTTTGTATTACAAAAAAAAAAAGTATCGCTCTACACAGTGGAAAGGAGATTTGTCAGTTCTCTATGACAATAACATATTATTTTCCAAAATCTTCACAACATTTACACTGGCATCAGCAACACGTAAGAATTCCCATTAATTCTCATCTGGAACAAGCAATAAGTGCTGGTAGACTTTGAGTGTAAAATGGTAATTCTTCATAGTTGAAGCTTGAGGTATTTGTTTGCAAATACCATGAACAGTTGTTTAATCAAAAACCTTTCTTGCACTTCAAGTAAGATGGCCATGTTTTCAGCCTATTCATGTGTGAGGTTACACTTCTATATTTTTAATATAAACCCGCTCTAGGATGCATGCAAGCTGATGATCTGCTTTTTAATATTCTTTATAAACAGCTTGGATTGAGTTTGCTTATATTTGGTTAGTAATTCTACATCTATATCTTTGTGTAAGACTCATGAATTTTTCTTGTTTATGCTATCCTTGGCCAGTCTAGGTATCAATTACACTAGCTTCAGAGAATAAGCTGGAAATACATCTTGTTTTTTTTATTCTTTCTAAGAGCTTAATATTGGAATGTCTCATTCCTGACAGCTTAGACGATATTGCCTATAAAATTATTTAGGTCTTGTGATCTGTTTGTGTAAAGACTTTTAAACTGCCAGTTCAATTTTCAGAATGATTTATATGGTTAAGTGGATTGTTTGGGTTTTCTATTTCTTCAAGTAACAGTTGTGCTATGTTTTTCTAAGAATGTTTTTGTTTTCTTGGTACAGGTTGTTCATAATATTCTATTATCTTAATTCCTCCATTAACTATGTGCCTGCGAGCGAAGTTGCTTCAGTCGTGTCTGACTCTTTGAGACGCCACAGACTGTACCCTTCCAGACTCCTCTGTCCATGGGGTTTCCCAGGCAAGAACACCGGAGTGGGCAGCCATTGTCTTCTCCTGGGCATCTTCCCAACCCAGGGATCGAACCCGGGGTCTCCCGCACTCCAGGCAGATTCTTTACTGCTGAGTCACCAGGAATGTCCTTTTTTCATTTTTAATTTTGCGGAGGTTTCTTGGGTTTATTTTCCCTTCATTTTTTCCCTCAAGCTTTCATTTAAATTAAATAGCATTTAAGGCTATATACATTTACCTTTATATTATGCTTTTAGGATATCCTACACATTTTGATATTTTGATAGTTTCATTATAATTCACTTCTAAGTAAATTTCCAGTATGATCTTTTTTTTTAATCCATAAGTTGCTTAAATTCACAATTACTAATTCTCAATTTAAATTTGTTACTGATTTCTAAAAACTGCACTATAATCAAATAGCATATATTCTATGATTTCAATTTTCTCACATTTGTTCAGACTTCCTATATGTATATGGGGAACTTTTATCTTCTCTAAATGTTGGATGCCACGTTCTATATAGGTTTACTAAATAGAGTTTATTAATTATGTTGAGTCTTCTGTATGTTTACTGATACTTTTGTCTTTTAAATCAAATTTCACCCTTTATTTCTTTTGATATTTTATACACATTTATACTTTCTAACTGATAATTCTAAATCTCAAGCCTTTCCATGGGGTCGCAAAGAGTCAGACACGACTGAGTGACTTTCGCTTCACTTTTCCAGGACTAAGATTTGTTTGCTGTGTCTTCTAATGGTTTACTTTTTGTTTCTTTAGTACTTTAGAAATGAATTCCTATTTGATCTGAACTTAACCTGTGGGACCTGTACTAGACTGTTCCAGTGAAAGCTTGCATTTACTCTTGCAAGAGTCAGGGTCATCTTTGTTTTGGGAACACTTCAGCCCTGTGGAAAAATCTAGACCTAATACAGGAGGTTGAGGTCAGCCCCCTGGCTTGCAGCAGGCCCCAGGTGAGTCTGAACCCCCATACTGGTGACGGCAAGTATTGCTCCCCCTCTGCCCCCTCTACCCAGGTTCCAGCCCTCCCCCCTAGCTACCCTGACTCACAGTTGCTTAAAACTCACAAGTTGGGTTTAGCCAATGACGTTTTTTATTTATTTTATTTTATTTTATTTTTTTTCCAATGAAGTTTTTTAATTGATTAACTGGGGAGGGGTAGATTTCTTTTACGGTCTTGAGAGTCCAGTAATACGTTTGTCATAATTTATTAAGGCCACGTGTGATATCCAGTCTGACAAGAGTAGATGTCCGTTACTCAAGTCTTACTCTGTAAAAAGCCCAATTTCCTCAACTGCATTTTTCTGTTTTCTTATTTATTCACCACCAAAAAAATTTTACAGAAAGGAAAAATCATTCAGATGAAAAAATAATACATAGAAAGATAAAGAACATAAAAGTATGTCTTACCCGCAGATATGCGATCAGCTCCTCACACTGCATCTGTCCCCCCCTTGAGATGGTCATGTTCTTGGAGTGACCCGGGGACCTGTTATGGAGAAAGAGTGCTCGTCGAATTGCTCCTTTCTGCTTGAGTTTATCCAAAAGAAGCTCCACCTGGAAGTCTATACAAACCAAAGGATTTATAACCAACATAATCTTTATGGACACCTACCTGTCCTAAATATCTCAAGTTTTCATGTAAAGAGAGATACACAGACATTTCTTAAGAAGTAACTTGCTTCTAATTCATTCTTAAAAAGTCTATACATTATAGTGAGACCACAACATATTAATTCTGAATAAATATTTCATAATTAATTAATCCAATCATTCCCAACTTAATGTCATCTAATAATTCAGACATTAGATAATGATAAAACTAGCAGATAGAAGGAAATTTTTTTTCTTTTAACTTAAGCTGAGAGGAGGAAGTTCAGAAATGAAATATGTGAATAATTAAGACTCTCACCACAAATGCAGGTAGCAGCACTCTTGCTGATTGTGAGTAAGAAATGTTTACTAATATGTATCCATACATTCACTACCGTGATGAATGAGCAGTTTGTATCAATTGCAACTCATACTTCTAATGAAGCTACCCTATCAAACTATCAGGTAAATATGTCTCTCATGAAGCAAATGACCAAACAAAGCTGACTAGGTCAGGAATCATCTTAAAAAAATGTTCCCATGGAAGAATCAAGCACAGCCAAGAAACAAGCACAGTTGCTAGATTACTAGCTTTTAAGATTCAGTTCTTCTTAGACAGTTTCTTCAAAGGACATAAGAATGCAGATCTTTAAAACCACAAGTCTCCTTTCAAGTTCCTCTAAATGCTGAACTCCGTAACAAATCTGAGTGAAAACCCAGGATTATTCTGCTCCCAGTTCTGTTCCATCCACTCTTTGAGAGACAGCAAACGCCTGCCTCTAGCCTCTTGAAACTGCCAATTCCTCTGCAAAATACTTGTCCAGGTATCCCTTAGTTCCTTCATTTCCTTCAGGTCTTTACTGAAAAATTACCTTCCTTGCTACCCTATGTGAACTTCAGACACAAACACACCTCCCAACAGACTCAGTCCTCTATTAAGAGCTTTAATTTCTTAGCATAAACACCAACAAATCTCCACAACAGTTACTGAACTCTCCTACCTTGCATTCAGAATCACATAAACTCTTTGAAAAAAAAGAGTGAAGTTAGTATTTTCTGTGTGGGTTAAATTTAGTGGTCAAAACTTTTTCTCCTTCTCTCTCTTTCTAAATCACCTCTACTCCTGAAATTACCAGGGTTTCTCCAACACATAAAATATAAACTTCTCAGTAGGTAACTGACTTTATAAACAATGATATTCATTTTTCCTGAAGTTCATTTGTCTCACATTGGTAACTTTAACTTTCTCAAGGCCGTATTTATCACTAATTTTTCAGAATGCCAATAAATAAATGTATTATCTCTGAACTGGCTTAAGAGCTGCCAAACAAAATAATTATGTTGTAATTTTAAATGTCTTTAACATAACATTCAAATTTAAAAAAATAACAACTATCTGAATAGTTATTCAAATATCCCAAAGCGTTTTTTAAGTGCTGCATATGCAGCACCATTATATATAATTTTTCGATAGAACACTTACCAAGTTTCCTAGGAAGTGCTCCTTTGCCATCTGCCTTTAAGCAGAACCTGACGTTAAAACTGTAAAAAAATAAAAAACACACACAAATCCCATAATCCAATTTAAACATTTTTTTAATATCACCCAAATCTCACAAATTTTTCTTTTTTAAATCTCACATTTCTAACACTTAGTTTACACTGTGAAGCCTTGTATCTTTCTTTACATCTTAATATTATTTTTAATAGATTATACATCTTAATATTATTCTTATATATTAAAACTATACAGAATATTCTAACTCATTCTTCAGTAACTTAGGCACGTTTCCTTTCATGATACTTTAATGAGACAAAAAAGAAAAAAAAATTCCTAACTTCCTCTCAAGTTTATAGAATCTCTTCAATAAATCTAAATGAGGAAAATGACAGTCCAGATTTAAAATAAATATCTCACTTATTTAAAAGTCCCACAAAGCTCCCTTTAATTAGTAAGCTCCTCTAGAACAGTATTTTTCACAGTTTATTACTGGGTCATGACATCAGTTTACTGGGTTGTGGCCAGCATCTTAAAAAAAAACAAATATATGTATAAAATTGACTTAAGTGTCAAGGATAAGATTTCATGAAACTTAAGTTTTAAAAACCTATGTTTACTGGATTATGATGTAAAATGTGTTTCATCCTATAATCAAGAACATATGAAAGCTACCACTCTAGTTAATGTATTCATTGTTACCAGAATAAGCAAAAATCTTGAAAATGTCACTGCCAATCAATGAAAATGAAGACCAAATATTATTGAACTTTTAATGCACTCTGATGAAAGAAATAAAATTTTTATTGTATACATGTTTGTTTAATATATATATTATAAACAAAATTTTGAAAAATGATTTTAATAACAATAAATACTTCAAAAACAAAATCAGGAAAAATATCTTTCCATTAGATCATTTGAAGTAAAATTTTCCCAGCTTCCAATCATTCTACCCTTCATAGGTAAGTTCTCTTTAATTTTTCTGTGTAAGTAAGCAGCATGAACATTATTTCCCAAAGTTGGGTACTTACAGTCAGTTTTTATGGATCAGGACTTTTCATTATTAATTTTATATTTATGTTGACATGTATGAGAAAGACTGGTTTCTCTATTTTATTTTAATGTGTTTTAAAGTAAAACATGAGTCAGTTTAAAGAAAAAAACTTAAGAAAATTATAAATACAAATAGAATAAAAAATAGCAAAAAAAAAAATCACATGATACAGTGAAAAGTAATAAAAAATGGAAACTTGAGAAATAGAGAAGAATTTCAGACATTAAGCTTGTTACATTTTTCTTCAGAAATTAGTAAAAGAACAAACAGAAAACCAATACCTTCAAGCAAAATAATTATTTTCATACAATTAGTCATAGATATTAAATCTGAAAAACATCATTAGTTTTTAAAAATCAAAATCAAAATGTTCACTGACCTTTTTTATTTTTGATATATTCATTTTTCAAAAATTAGTTTTATACTAGTTTATAGAATATTTCTAGAGGCTTATATGTACCCTCTTTGGAACAATATTTCTAAATTCAATCTATGACAAGAAAATAGAAACTGTTTGAATAATATTTCAGCCCACTCCCCCATTTTTAATTAATTTTATAATGATTGAACCAATAATTATAATAATAACTATTATCAAACAAACACCCTTACCAGGAAACTTTGAGATCTGTCCCAGGCAGAGAGCAGGTTTTATTTTCTTGATTTAAAATGCTAGGGTACACTTCAAGGCCAGCATTTACAGTGATAACTGGTCTGGCCCTGGTTTTAAAAAAAAGAAAAAAAGTTATTTAAAAATGTTACACTGATCTAAGTACTTTAGGTTCACATTCATGGTGTATACAGAGCAATGTTCACTAAAGCAGTGTTTGTAATAGCAAAAAGAATAGAAACAATCTAAACTTAGAAAGACCAAATATCCCAGTTTGCCCCTAGACTGTCTTGATTTTATCAGTGAAAGTTCCAAGACCTGGTAAAGCGCCCTCAATTCCAGGCAAAGCAGGACCACTGGTCACAACCTATCTGAACACAGCCCATTAAAGCAGGATGGTTAAACAGGTCGGGGGATAGCTACCTAATGCAGCTGCAATACAAGAGGGAGATGAGTGCTGTAAAGCCATCTGCACTAATATGGGATGAGATTAACCAGGAGAGAATTTTAGTATGACAGGAAAAAAAAAAAACATGTAAAAAGGATGCATGCACACATACACACACACAATTTTGTAATGCACAGAATGTTTCTGGTAGGATATACTAACGAACTAGTAACTGGTGTGAGAGGAAGTATGTATTTTTTTATTGTATGCCCTTTTTATATTGCTTGAAATTTTACCACATGCCTGTATTACTTTGTTAATAACAATTTTTAAAACTAAACAATAAATTAAAATAAATATAGTTTTCCAAAGTTAGATGTACATGTTTATGCTCTGTAAAAAAATATAGCAGGCTCAGGTCAGTGTGCTTGTTCCAATCACGACAAATCCTAGAATCTGTACGGCCACAAGCTGCTGTGAGAGGCACAATCAAGTTGACCTACACTACACAAGAGGCTTAGTTTTCCTGCCATCTATAAGCACAGTCCCTAGGAGTGTAAACATCCTAATCTACTTGCGATACCAGATGATACTGTAAAGCAATGGGAACTGATGAAACACAGAGAATTATGGGAAATATGTATGAAGCTGGGAACTAGAGATATGTAGATTTACACATACTACTCTGATAAAAACATTTATTTTGGGAGTCATTACATACTTCCCCGGTGGTCTCAGAATACTGTGGCAAAAATACCAAGTTAATTTCTTGTCTCTTAGAGGAAAATGTAACTTTTATACTTTTAAATGTAACTCATACTTTTAAATTCACAAAATCTAAAACATAGGAGAACACCTTTGAACAAATTTAAAGAACAAAGATGGAAAATTCTGAATGCTTTTCTAAAAAAAAAAAATCTACTGCTTTCTCTATTCTGGGGATCTCCTTGTATCACTACTCCTTGCCTGAAGTGAATCTTGAATAGAAAGAACAAATTTTATCATTACTTCAAGAAAATTAAAATGAAATTTAAGCACTGGTACTTAACTATAAAACTTTCATATAATTCATAATACTCCTGTATTATCAGATATGGAAAGTCTTACCTGTATAATACAGCTCTATCTACACCAAAAGCTCCTACAATTAAGTCTTAAAAGAGAATAGAAAAACTATGTTAATAATAATAGTTTTCTAAAATTCACATACGATTCTATAAAGCTCTCCATGTACATAATAAAGATTAGATTTAGACATAGACTCAAAAGTTCTTCATCAGTGATTTTAAGACAACATCTAAAAGGCTAAAATTTATATGAAAACTTTACAGTATTATCAATGACGAACACTTTCATAACACTAATTTTTTCATCCATCCAGATAGATAAGAATCTTCTGAATGGATACTGAGTAAAAATCAACACCAATGAGGAAGAATATATCACCCAAACATACATTCCCGAAGGTAAACACTTTACAGATGCCTATGGCTTTTTTTAATTGTTTTTTAAATTTATTTCTTTTTAATTGAAGGATAACTTATAATATTGTGGTGGTTTCTGCCATACATCAACGTGAATCAGCCATAGGGATACATTTGCCTGTGGACTTTTAAATTTCTATTTTTTTGAAGCAAAAAAAAATTTTGAATTTTGTGTTTTGAAACAAAAAAAATTTTTTTTCTGTTTTTGAAACAAAATAAAACCAAAATACAAACACAGTTGACTCTTGAACAACCTGGGTTTGAATTGCGCAAATCTACTAATGTATGGGATTTTTTTTTTTCCCACAGAAAGTGCTATAGCACTACACAACCTGAGGTTGGTTCACAACCAGAACTGTTGATACAGAGGTCGACTATAGTTAGTTATATATGAACTTTTGACTGTGCAGAGGGTCAGCACCCTTAATACACTGTCCAAGGATCAACTGTACCTAGAATCCTTAGAATGACAGCAGATAGCATCCAAATCCAAGAACAGAATGCATTAGTCTTCACACGTAGCTATCACCACTGGTTCACAATCAGGAAAAATGAAATCAGAACTCTATCTCACAGTATATGCATGCGTGTGTGCTAAGTCACTTCAGTTGTATCTGACTTTGTGGTCCCATGGACTATAGCCCAATAGGCTTACACAAGCTTAATTTGACAAAGCTCTTTCTAAGCAGAAAAGTACATGAGAAACCATAAAGACAGATACAGTGGATCACAAAAAATTAGGAACTTTTTTGTGCCCCAAAAGAAAACATGACTGGAAACAGAGCTATCTGCGCTTTGTATCCCCTCAGTTATGACAACCGTGCCGTGAACAATGGCAGGGGCTTGAACAGCAGTTGAAATACTGAATTAAACTGATTTATAACATAAAATCAAGACAGCAGTAATTAATACTAGGTTGGTGCAAAAGTAATTGTGGTTTTACAATGCTGACCTTTGCCATTTGATATTGGAATACATCCTTAAACAAATGGGGTTATGATATACATCATTTCAATGTGCATTTCTCACTTTACATTTTTTTTGCTAATGACTTAATACTTGCTGTATATTTTATATTTATTTTAGACTATGGAAATGATGTTAGACAAAAAGCAAAATTGAGTGACTTTCTTATTCAAGTTCAAAGTGGGTCAGAGACAGCGGTGGAGACAACTCACAACATCAACAACGCATTTGGCCAAGGAACTGCTGATGAACATACAGGCCACTGGTAGTTCAAGAAGTTTTGCAAATGAGATGAGAGCCTTGAAGATAAGAAGCCTAGTGGCCGGCCATCAGAAGTTGACAACAACCAACTGAAAGGATCATCAAAGTTGATTCTCTTACAACCACACAAGAAGCTAAAAAACTCAACACTGACCATTCTATACTTGTCTGGCATTTGAAGCAATCTGGAAAGGTGAAAAAGCTAGATATGTAGGTGTCTCGTGTGCTGACAGAAAATCAAAATAATTGTCCTTTTGAAGTGTCATCTTTTCTTATTCTATGCAACAACAATGAATCATTTCTCAATCATACTGTGACCTGTGATGAAAAGTGGATTTTATACAAACCTGGTGACGATCAGCTCAGTGGTTAGACTAAGAAGAAACTCCAAATCACTTTCCAGAGCCAAATTTGCACCAAAAAAGGTCATGGTCACTATTTGGTGGTCTGCTGCTGGTCTGATCCACTATAGCTTTCTAAATCCCAGTGAAACCATTACACCTGAGAAGTACACTCAGCAAACCAATGAGCTATATGGAGAACTACATCGCTTGCAGCGGGCACTGCTCAACAGAAGGGGCCGAATTCTTCTTCACAGCGACCCCTGACTGCATGTTGCACAATCAATGCTTCTAAAGTTGAACAGGCTGGGCTACAAGCGTTCCCTCATCTTCCATGCTCACCTGACCTCTCACCAACTGACCACTACTTCTTCAAGCATCTTGACTACTTAATGCAGTGAAAATGCTTCCACAACCAGCAGGAGGCAGAAAATGCTTTCTGAGAAGTTCGTCAAATCCTGAAGCACAGATTTTTACACTACAGGACCAAACAAACTTATTTCTCACTGGCAAAAATTTGTTTATTGCAATGTTTCCTATTTTGATCAACAAAGATGTGTTTGAGCCTAGTTATAATGATTTAAAGTCCACAGTCTGAAACGGCAATTACATTTGCACCAACCTAATATTACTGGCGGTTAGGACTGAAAAATCTAAGATGCTCTATTTATTTCTAAGAAGCACCTGGATATCCATTCTTGTCTATATCCGTGGCTCCTTTCATGGAATAGCCGAAGCTTGGTGGCATGCTCCGAGCTGCCCACTTCCCTTCCAGGATCTGAGATGGTACTGCATTCAAGCCTGTGGGTCTTCCATTGAAAATATAAACAATTCCCTTTTTATCTTCACCCCCATATGGAGCAGCAATTGCAATATCTGAGGGGGAAAAGGAAGAGAGGGAGAGTAAGGAGGGGGGAAAGGGGGGGGGAAGGTGAAGAAATGAGAGTGGGACGGAGGAGGGAACAGATGGAGAAAACAAGTCATAGTGCTCATCATTATTTCTGTGGAGAAGATCCTAACATCTTTAGAATCCAAGTATTGATACCATGATAAACATCGATTCAAAGTTCAGTAGTGTACTCTTAACTCAAAAGCAAAAACCAAATTCAAGGAGGTTCAAGCAAACAGTATGGAAATGACATTAACTTGGAGCCATATATTCTGGGTCTGACCTTGGACAAATCACTTAACCATTCTTGACCTTAAATGACTCATCCTTAAAACAGAGAGGAGGGGACATGTCAAAATATTCATCTAAGGTTCATTCTAGCTCTCAAAATTCTAGTTAATTTAATTGGGCATGGTTTTGGGGGGGTTTTTTTGTTTTTTTGAGAATTCAATCTGGTTCAGAGACTTAAACACTATGATTTCATCTCTATCTTAATCAATTTATACCGAAATTTTTAAAAAGTCTGAAATTCTTAAAAACAAAAAAAACAACCAAATGGTCACTATAACCTTTCCTAACTCCAGATATATTATGAATACTATGTCCACTTCCCTCTATCTTTGCTGGCCCCACGCTGGACAAGCCATTGTCATCCTTTGCCTGGACCTCTAAAGGAGTCTAAGTGCCTCCCACTTCTACTCTTGCCCCTATAATCCATTCTCCTCAAGACTGCCAAATGTTAATATCATGTCACCTTCCTTCTTAAAAATCCTTCAATTATTTCCCAAAGCATTCAAATGCCACCTAGTTTGTCCATTCATCACCCCACCTCTAAGCCAACCCCAAATCTTCATACCAATCCTTGCCTTTTCTGACTCTTGAACTCACCAGGTGAGCCCCCATCTCTGGATTTATACTTGCTGTGCCCTCTGCCTTACAGGCTCTTGCTCCAGAGCTTTTCAAGCTTTGCTCCTACTGTTCGTCCAAATCGTCAGAGAGCTCCTCCCTGGCCCTTCTGTGGAGTAACACCCTCTCCTTCCTCTATCTAGGCACTCTCTACCACATCACCTTGCCTTTTGTTTGTCTAAACCCACAGCCTTTATCACTACCTGAATTTCCCCTTTATGTGTTTACTCTATTGCTCCTCTACAAAACATAAATTTCCTAAGAACAAAGATGTGTTCTTGTTTAGAACAGCACCTAAAGACCAGCCATTTCAAACTGCCTCAATTTTCTTAATATACCTAAAGTGGCTTCACCCCCTTCAATGTAACATCCCGAGACATCAAAGAAACCTCATCACTCATTTTTTAAGACGGTTATACCCAGGAATATCTCAGACACTGTGATGACTACTTTCTAGTGTTTACTTGTTCGCATTAAACTTGCTCCTACTGATGCTAAATTCCTTAAGGACATGGTCGGCCTCTAATTCATCCTTTCATTTTTAGCACTTAGAACAGTGCTTAGCCTGCAGTAAGCACCAACTAAGAATTTGTTATCCTTAAATAAAAAGTAGTATTTAAATTACGTAAGAGTTCTTCTCAATCCTTCTTTAAGTTTTAAAAGATAAACATAACTTCTAAATTGACGCATGCACGAAGAAAGTTTTTTTTAAATACAATTTTCCAACAGAAGATAGCTCTACTGTTGAGAGATGGTTTTAAAAAATTCTCCTTACCTTTCCTAAACCTTTTGTTATTTTGTATATTCTAATCATATCTTCTCTTGGCTGGTATCTGTCTAGTCTGGAGAGCCCTCCTTTTTCATGTAATCAATCTATTCCTATTCCTATTGATCATTTTAGTTTCTTTTTCTGTGCTTTTCCTACTCTGCCTTTCTGGAGAAGTATTGACAAAAACTCCATGTAATTGTGGAACATAATTTTATCCTTTTGTTTTCAGTATCCCTCTTGATCATACCTAGGGTTTTCCCAGTGGGTGTTAAGTGGAAAGGGAGGAAAATAGGAGCAAAGACATAAAAAAGGGTCAATGTCATCAGGTCTGAATAAGGAAAAGATCCAGGTTGTAACTAATACAAACATACACCTACAGGCTATATGGGACAATAAGACCTCAGGAGACACTTTGGGAGCAAAAAAAAAAAAAATCATCTGCAATAGTATCTAGTTCTAAAAGTAAAATCTCTTTGTAAAACAGTTATAAAACTTTGATATTTTTTAGCTATCACTGCTTATAATTTTTGTGTTCACAGTACATTTTAATAGGAATAGGGAAAGCAGGATGAGATGCTATCTGGATTATGATATTAAAGAAACATTCTTTAAAGTGGCTGGAATATCCTCAAAACAAGGTGAAGGCAGACATGTCCAGGCTTTCCCAAAACGCCTGGAGACAGGCCATCCACAGCAAAGAACCTGTTAAATGTACTCAAGGTAGAACTTCGGATATGGCCCTATTTTCTAGGTTGTTTTTGTTACCAAAAAGTAATGATTTGATCTGTTCTGTAGTATTCTTCTCAAGTTCTATATTGAATTTTATACTAGAATTCCATTTATGTTCTCCTGGTGGTAAAAAAATAACCTTTAAGACTATTTTAAGAAGCAAAATGTCCCCTTGAGAAGTTTTTCCACTAACAATGAAAACTTCTAGGGTGAGAGATGACACTTTCAGCGCGTGACATAACACTACCCACGTGGCAGGAATGGTCTTGAGGCCAAACAAACATTTTCCTTTCCTACTGCTAACTGGGAGATTTGAGAGTCATCTGTCTTTTTGAGGTTTTCATCTTAATTTACAACTTTCTTGTCATTTTCGGGGGGATATCCCTATGTACTGCTGATTATACGAACAAACCCATAGTTCAACTCCATTTTGTGAACTCTAAGGAGATTGTTAGTATCATTCCTTTTTTTAAAAGTCTTGGTAATTTGTAATTTGCATTTCACTCTATAGCACAAGCCAATTTTGATTTTTAAAGGTACCTACAGCTATTAATTAAATTATTAAGTGGGACTGTTATAAAAGTAAACATATACCTTTTTATCTGTCCCTGTGAAGGGAGATACAACCTCCCTCAGAATATTCTGGATAGCCACAACAAAATTATGGCTTTAAAAATATCAGTATCAAATCAAACCTTTGAAGGAGGCATTAGGGTCAGCACTGCCTTGACAAGAGGCCTGGGAGCATTTTTTACACTTGCATCCGAACGGACAGCAGAGGGCACTGCCGCTAAGCAGGACACAGAGACAAAAAATCACCAGCTCACACTGGGCTCCCTGGGAATGCAGGTGCCTTTCAAATTAACCACTCTGACGCTCTAATTTGAGCTGCACGTATAATAACCCGTGAGAGTCAACTTTGGAAAATTCCCCTCTGATTTTTAAGGGAAATGAACAACCTGTCGTTGAACCTAGTGTTACTCAAATCCTTCCTTCCAGGAAGGAAGTTTGCTCGTGTGAGCTTCTATAAATAGGGTATAGGACTTTTTCAGGTGGCCACAGAAAGTCAGGGACCTTCGGCTCTTTACACTCCTTACCGTTGAAGCCATCTTGGTCTAGATCTCCCAAAGGGGCTATGGCACTGCCGAACCTTGCAAAGACCTCAAAACCATTCAGCTTGATGGTCTGGAAGTCTCCCGAAGCTTTCTGCAGAGATACCGAGACCTGCCCCACCTCCTGGAGCTTGCCATCAGAACCACGATCCATGAAGAGAGGTGCGCCGATAAACACATCTGCGTAACTGAAAGAACAGAATTGTTTTCATGAAGAGTAAGATCAAATTCCATGTGACTATTCATAATCATGTTCTTTCTTAGTTGAAACTCAAGTTTTCCTCTTTCTACATCTCTTAAGGCCACATTTGAAATGACCATTTCTCATCCAAACCTTCCTTCAGTTCTTTTAAGAAACTATGAGTAATTCATAAGATTATTTTATTCCTTCATACTATAAAAGCTAGTGAAAGGAATTATTAACAACATAAAGGTTTTCCATTATTTGTGATTAAGGTTGTATCAAATTGGTTCCTTAAACAGGAGGATTAGCAGGAAGGAGACAAACAGAAGGAAAAATGTTTAGTTTTAGTAAAGCATTCATAAACATGAGAAGAAAACTGTTTCTGGAAACATTTTTTAAAACTTACTCATCCCCATTAATGTCAGTGGCAGCGACAGAAAATCCAAAATATGCAGCCATCTGGATAATGAGATGAAAATGAAATGTTTACATTTCATCCAACTAATTTAGAAAATTAATATTTGTTGTGTATTTACCAAATAGGATTACTTTTTTCTCTGCATATAGTGCTTCAATCTAAGTTTCTTCTTTTGTTTATTCTACCAAAACAATGACCGTCAGTTAATGAGGCTTGTATACTTTCCTAGATTTACTGGCAAGACAGCAACGTGTCTTGCAAGACATTTCAGGGTCTTCAGCACAGGCCATTTACAAGTCCAAGTACAATCAAGGCTCCTCCTGAGGCCCCACCTCCTATCTCTTGTCCTCTCTACTTATCCAAAGACACCAGACATACTACCAGAAAGACAGACAAGACATTTCAACTGAACACAAGAAGTTACAAATGATGCCAATGCAGTAAAAATAATAAATACTAATTTTTAGTAGGTCATAAATGGTTCTTCCTATGTGAAACCACTACAACTCTAAAGAAATTACTGTTTGAAAAGATACAGAATGGAGTTCCTTTTTGTTTCACATCTCAATCGATTACGTGCCAGTGGTTTTGCTTTTAAATTGCACATAGTACAAATGTGCTTGGGTTTATCATGGGCTTGTTTTGCAGAAAAGGAATGTCCTCTCCTCACCACAGGAGACTGCTGGCCATCACAGACAGAGCAGTCTGGCTGGAAATACATGTGAAAAAGGAAAGTTCTAAAGAGATTCCAACATACAAAACAAAACTAGGAGTGGGGACAGATTAAAGATGAACTACAGTGAAGGATGAGTCAACAAACCAAAAAAAGTAAAGTTAGTAAATCTTCCAAAATTCGATTAGCTGAGCTATCAGGAGGGAATGATATGGGAGATTCCCAGGTTAATCTATTTTGAATTTATACAGTGTAACTGAGAAAATGAAAGACAAAGTCTGTGTTGAATCACAAGGTCAGAACATGTGTAATAAAGTGCTGGCTGGAATTTAACAGAATACTACTCTTGGATCTTGGTCTCTCAGGGTACTGGGCCTGAAACTGCAAAGAAAGGATGTCATTGACTGAGAAAAGTCTTGTGCTGTGTTATTATCACTGAAGTGTTTCCCTTGGATTTTCACCACATTCCCATAAGGAAGCTACGAGGATCCCTGCTTTTATACATAAGCCATCAGATTGACAATGGTAAACACCGTATCCAATGCGGTAAGACTGAGTGGTGAGAGCCCAGGTCAGTCCTAATGCAAACCCCACTTTCCTCCACAGAAGAGCTGAGGACAAAGAGAAGGCATCAAGGATGAGTCCAAGACCCAGAGACACACATGGGCATCCGACGGAGAAGCTGCTTGAGGACAAAACACGACAGCACAAAGGGACAGCCACCCCTGCCACAGCCCAAACAGCTGACAACTGCACATGTCAACCCTGACGGCCACACAAACGGGACGCTACTGGGGACCTCGAGTCTCGTTTCCCATCCTCTCAATCCTCTTGCGAAGCCAAACAATCTCAACTGAACAAGAAGCGGGCTTAAATCCTAGATGTGCAAACTAGGAGATGCTTTTTTCTACCACTGATTTAAGTTTTCCTTTATCATTACAGGTACACCTCGGAGACACTGCAAGTTCAGTTCCAGACCACATCACCGCAACAAATTGAACAGCCCGTACATATAACATTTATACTTTAGTCTATAAGTGTGCAATATCATTATGTCTAAGAAAACAATGTATGTATCTTCATTTTAAAATACTTTATCACTAAAAAATACTATCCATCATCTGACAACTCAGGGTTGCCACAAACTTTCAATTTGTAAAAAAAACAACCAGAATCTATGAAATGTATTAATAATGAAATGCAGGAAAACATGGTACACCTATACTAAATTTCCATTTCATTCTTTGAGACATATAATAATACAGAATATTGTAAAATGCCTATAATTATAGAGATTGTCTAGTACTTAATAGTACAAATTAGTAACTGAAGAATGTTGTATTTCATGTAGTATAAATGAAATTTACTTGTAATATCTATAGTAAACACATCTTGGCCATGCTTTGTTTTACATCTAATAAAATTAAAAGGTCATTCTTTAGATAGATCATTCTTTAAAAAAAAAAAAGCATAGATCATTCTTTAAAAGAGAATTTAATGCTATTAGCAAATAAAAAGGAAATTTTTTAGTTTTGTATGTGTTCAATTGGATTTTGTATTTCCTTTTTTAAAAAGCTATTACAGCAATTACAAAAGGCTTTGCTTAAATAAATTACTCTGGTTAAAACAAAGGTGAAATATTTAAAACCTATTTTATATCTATAATACCCACTATTAAACCAATAGTTACTATATATCGAATATTAAACCATCAGAATATTACCAAGAAAAGTTGTTAAAGACAGTAGGAAGTGTTGGTGTCAAAATATTAAGTGAAAAAAAAAACCCACAACACTTCAAAAGCATACCTGTTCACCAGTAAAATTGTGTAAGGAGGACATGTTTTTCCCATCATAAATATAAACCTGTGCAAGAAAAACAAAAGCACATGAAATAGAGTAAAATACGAAATAACCCAGAGATTTTTTTAGAAAACATCTTTTAAGTTTCCTACCATTCCCAAAGTCCTTGCTGCTCTTGGAACTCCTGAAACGAAGTCTGAAAAGAAAAAAATTACTTATTTTTAAGACCAATACTGGCAACTCCAACAGTAAGCGGCTATGTCAGACAGCTTTAAGTTTTGCTATTTCAGCAGACACTAAGTATGAGATCTTTAAAAACTTGGGACTCCATAATAAATGACCCAAGCATTTTTTAACCACGAAATGAAAGCTTTACAGAATATGGAAAGATTCTTGAAGACTTCAAATAAATGTATGTGTGCCCTCAGGGTATTTATAATCTTGTGAAAGAGAGCAGACAAGAGAAAAGGGCTTAAGGATGAAGAAAAGCTGTACACACAGTAATAAAAAATAATCCAAAGCCAAGTGAAACAGGGCTGAGGCTGCAATGGCACAGAAACGTGATCAAATCAGGCCAAGTCTAGGCTCCCAAGACTGAGCTCTGAAGACGGACAAAGAGAAGATGGGCTATAGGCAGAGCTCAGAAAGTCACAGATGATGTGTCCAAAGAAAGTAGAAACTATTAAACTGTGCCTCCCCAAGAGAACTGAATCCACCGAAAGTAAGAAGGAAAGCGCTGAAGAAACAGCTGGAAGTGAGAGCAGACAGAGGTCGCTGAAGCTCTTAGCTCCCTTGGCTGGTTAAAAGAAGTTTACCACGGACCAAGCTCAGCTTTAAAACTCTTTAATTGCTGACATTTTTCAGTGCCACATGTTTCAAATGCTTAGTCTAAATTTTTTAAAGAGGATTAAATCTAGTTCAAGCGCATCGTACCATCTATGCCATCACCATTGAAATCTCCGACAGCCACTGAGTAACCTAAAGAGGAACAAAGACAAACACCATCAGGGCAGAACTGATTATCTTCAACTTATTTGCAGACTAAGCTTTACTGGAAAATACCTTCAACTAATTTCTTTAATTTTGTAATATTTTGTCCTCTAGGAGAAATGGGTTCACATGTGTATGATAAATGAATCTTGAAGAAAATAATGGTGCTAAATACTCGAATAGTATATCTCTGTTAGAAATATAAGACTGTTTTATCAACTTTACAAAGGAGTCAGTTAAAAACAGGGCAAATTTGCAATTCGTCGTAAATCATAGGAGTAACAAACAACAGATTTTCTCAATCAGCAAAATACTATTTCTGTCATGTATACTTGGTTTAATGAATAAGAGAAACTTAGAACCAAAGTTAATAAATCCTAAACCAAAACTGTAGTTTAACATAGTGAATAGAAGTTCAAGAATCAGACTGCCTGGATTGAAATCTGAGAAAAGCAAAGTTATAAGTGAAGGACTTTAGGCAAAGACTTCAGACTTTTACTTTGCCTGTCTGTGCCTCAGTATCTTTATCTATAAAATGGGAGTAATAACAGTACACTGTCACAGACTTGTGAGGATTAAATGAGTTATTACAGGTAAATCTCTCAGAACAACGTCCAGAATGCAGCAGGCACATCTTAAAGACTATCCATTATTATTATCACTGTGTAAATAATCATGCTCTTAAATTTCAGCTACTGAAATACAACATAATCTAGGTACTCATAATAACAATTTGAAATTATATGTTCCTTATATTTTAAGAAAATCTTAATCTATTTCACATAAAAGGTTTTTCTACTGAAAGCATCTATGCAAATATAGGACAAATCTACCACAACACTAGAAAGTGAATCCATATTTCGATTTTACCTACCCAAATAACTGTCATCAAAAATAGCTTGTGCAGTCCGAGTTGCTAACTGGTTATTATACTTGATGCTGTAAACTTTGGGGTCATATTTAGATACAATTTCTGCTACTTGATCGGAAATGAGTTGACCTGAAAGAAATACATAAAATAAATTATAATTTAAAATGAGCTGCCCTGAAAACAATGTATAAAATAAATGACAATTCTCTAGCAGAACTTTACAATGCAGATGATGGATAGTACCTTCATGAAATAAAATAGATTAGATATAAATCTTTCTGCTTATTAGTCTTAAATAACTCTTCATGATCCTAAATCTGAAATTTGATTATTTTTAAGTCACAATTATTTCTATTCAAGGCTAGTATTTAACAAGTTAGTCTCTGCTAAAAAGCAAAAATTTATAAATGCAGAATTTAATTCACTAAAAAGTCAAAGTTAAATAAATGGAATCATAAAATCAAGGATTGTTTCCCAACCAAATTTCAAATTAGAACTTGAAAAATCTACTGAAATTATTTTTACTTTCATAATAACTGGTTAAGCTGTCTTTTCTTAATGAGCTATTTGGACACCTCTATGAAGCAGCCTGAAAGAGTGACTGCATTTTCTTCACAACCTTAAGTTATCAAGTATACGAGAAAACCAGACACCTACATAAAAATCAGACTGCCTCCTTGCCCCCAAGAAAGGCTGTTTGATTTATCAAATGCCATCTCCATAACATATGGAAAACAATCTCTTCATTTCCGCTATTTCAGAAAGAAAATCGTAACAGCTAAAGATATCAATCTAGCTCCGATTTTTCCAGTCACATAAGCTGAGTTTGTAGGGAAGAACACTTTCTGTCTGGGTCACTAATTTATTACCTTTGCCTGCATGTGTGTGTGCTGAGTCATGTCTTGACTCTTTGTGACCCCATGGACTGTAGCCCACCAGACTCCTCTGTCCATGGGGTTTTCCAGGCAAGAACACTGGAGTGGGTTGCCATTTCCTTCTCCAGGGAATATTCTCAACCCAGGGATCGAACCCACATCTCCTGCATCTCCTGCATTGCAAGCGGATTCTTTACTGCTTAAGCCATTGGGGAATCCCATCATCTTGCCTAAATGGTATCAAACACATATGAGGGATTCCTTAAATATTTCTTGAATCAAAGAACACAGGAAAATTTACCATGTCTTTGGAATAAAACATCATTATCATTTTCTCTATTCTTACAGAGACAATTCTGAGATCTATGGGAAAATTCATCCTAACATCTTATGTATTCCCAGTGAAACATGCTGATTTTAATCTTATTAAAACAAAATATTCTCTTCCCAGTCACTGAGTTTTTAGTAACATATTATATACCATTTATAATAAATCAATAGTATCTGTATCTGTGCTAATTTATAATAAACAGGAATGCCTGCATTGTGCAATACTCAAAGTATTAAAAGAACAAGTAATTTAAGTAAGTTCACAATTGTGTCTCTTAAAAAGGCAGAGTTAAAGAGTCCTGATCGAGAATCACAAAATCCATCTTTGGTTCCCACACATGCCCATGAGACACTTCCCTCTCTTCTACTGAATGATATACCTAGCAGCAAAGAGGAAAAGAAATCCATGTTTTATACCTAACTAGAAAGCATTAATACATATTTTCTTACATGCAATTAGAACAGCTATTTTCATTTTTATTGTAAGGCTACAAAACTCAAGTATAATTTTCCTACATCATTTCATCTTCCAATAGAGGTATAATTCATAGAAATTCATATTTTTCAGTTTTAGTTAATATGTCTCATACTGATCCTCTTTGCCCGTTTTTTCTTTTTCTCCTTTGCCATCCCTTCCAATCTCTCACTTATTCCCACTTTTCATTCCTAATTTTCCTTCTACCTTGTTTTTCTTCAGCAAATCTCTTCCTTTAGTTCCCTTTCTATAAAGCAAAAGCACAGGTTTTCCTACAAGGAAACAAGTAAAGAAAGCACAGTGCAGAATACAGAAGTAAAATTCAGAATCAGAAAGTACTTGCAAATTGATACAGTCAGAGATTTTCCAGGTCTTCCAAATATTGACAATGCTTGAATAACGGAATACCAATAAACAAAAAAGCCTTGATTTGGTAAATGGTACTTTTTAGCAGTCCCAAAGAAAGGCAATCCCAAAGAATGCTCAAACTACCGCACAACTGCACTCATCTCACACGCTAGTAAAGTAATGCTCAAAATTCTCCAAGCCAGGCTTCAGCAATATGTGAACCATGAACTTCCAGATGTTCAAGCTGGTTTTAGAAAAGGCAGAGGAACCAGAGATCAAATTGTCAACATCTGCTGGATCATCGAAAAAGCAAGAGAGTTCCAGAAAAAACATCTATTNAATTGATGCTTTTGAACTGTGGTGTTGGAGAAGACTCTTGAGAGTCCCTTGGACTGCAAGGAGATCCAACCAGTCCATCCTAAAGGAGATCAGTCCTGGGTGTTCACTGGAAGGACTGATGCTGAAGCTGAAACTCCAATACTTTGGCCACCTGATGTGAAGAGCCAACTCATTGGAAAAGACCCTGATGCTGGGAAAGATTCAGGGCAGGAGGAGAAGGGGACAACAGAAGATGAGATGGTTGGATGGCATCACCAACTCAATGGGCATGAGTTTGAGTTAACTCTGGGAGTTTGTGATAGACAGGGAGGCCTGGCCTGCTGCAGTCCATGGAGTCGCAAAGAGTCGGACACTACTGAGTGACTGAACTGACTGACTTTTTAGCAGAAAATAAACATATGAATATATTGACTAAATAAATAATTATGTTTCTAATGATAAATGAAACATAAATCAAATAAGCAGATATAGTTACCGATTTTCAAACTGTAAGAAAATAATGATCTGTTTTACATTTATTCAAATGGTAATTTTATTAGTCCTCTGGAAATGATTGGAATCTGGAATGCAGATTTTTACTTCAATCATCAACGCCAATTTAATATATTCTTTTGATCTTATTTAATAAGATCCTCTATTTTTACAACTTCCCAAAGAAATCATTCTTGATGTCAGTGATTAATGAGAAAATAACCACATCAATATTCTACCTACAGCCCCTCATTCTTCCTAATGATTAATTATATCATTTCCTCTAAAGTACAGAGATGAAGTATATAAGCAATAAAAATTAATTACTTTAAATTACTTTATAAATTTACTTTATAATTTACTTTTTAAATATTTAGTTTATTTTCTACTAGAAATGCATATGTTATATATTTTACATATACCTTATTATATATGATGTTATAGTCCTTTTAAAAAAAATTATATATAGATAGTGGTTATACATTTAAATTTAATTTTTTCATTTTTTTCTTTTAAATAATTTGAAAAGTCTCAAAGGTACATGATAAGCCAGATGAGTCTAAAATATAGTCATTATTGGGTAATTTTTAAAAGATTAACCTACCTTGCCAGTAAAAACTACCAGGACCACCAAGAAGTACTCTGTCAGCCTAGATTAAATCAAACAAAAAGATATATATTTTAAAACAGATCGCTTCAAAAACTGAGAACAATGTAATAAACATAAAAGCTTACATATTCATGTATATATGACATATATATGCATATACATTAAAGCAAACAAAATCATAAATCTTAAACCCAGCTGACTCCATAATTTTCACTGTACCTTTTCTAAAACACAATACAATAAATATCAAAAAGGAAGCCTATAATATATTCATTTAATATATGAAAATATACATATATATGTATATATATATACAGATTCTGTAGATCTTGGCTGCTTCACACACTTGGTATGAAGTACTGTCAGCAAAGTATTATTAGTTACAGTAAGAAAAAAAGTCACTCCTTAATTTTGTTTATCACATTTGTGACTACACTGACAAACTTCCTTTCTAAAAATCATTAAATATTTTTCAAGCTAAAGCAAAATGTTTAGTGTCAGGTAGATTTAAACAGGAGTGAGGTTTGAGGGTACATTTTTCAGAGTATGCTAGATATACAAACTACACTTGTCTAGCATTTCTTATATCTGTAACAAATTATAAGTATCTAATTCAAGGTATTTAGTGTTTTGAGCATATTTTTAAAATTTCTTCTTGCTGGAGAGAAGAGAAAAACTTTCTCTCTCCAAATACACATACAGTCTTTGAAGCTTTCAACAATCTCCTGCCTTGGCTATGTAAAAGATAATTCTAAGTTGTCCGCTTTAAAATGACACCACTTTTCAGAAATGAGTTGAAGAAAGCAGTTAATTTAGCAATGACTATTCATGGCATGGGAATATTTCTGGGGTTATAGTTGTACTGGTGTAAGTACAGAAAATATGAACACTTCTTGTTTTAATACAACATCTACTTGAAAATACATCATCCAAGTTGAAACCTTTTATGTGTTAATATACTTTACCTCTCTGTTCTGCTTCCTTAAATTTTAAATAATGAGTAATTATGAATAAATTTTGAATTATGAATTTCAAATTGAGTGAATTAAAATTAACTGCTTGATAAGGAGAGTTAACTAAAATTATTAGTACCTAATATTTAAAATTAAAAATATAAATTTACAAAAATAAGAAAATGCTTTATTAGTTTCTCTGAACCATGATTATAGTTTCTGTGCTTTTAGTAAATTTAAGGCACTTTTGCTTGCATTTTCTAAGTCATATTAAGTTTTCTAAGAAATTTCTACTTTTAATTGAGCAATGTGTTTTTGAGACTTCTCTAGGAGTAATTAACTTTCTCAATTTGTTATTCAAAATGTTCATATATCCCACAAAAAAACACACAAAAGCAAAAGTAAATTATATAAAGAAAAATTTCCTTTGAAAATATACATGGAATTCTTATTTTTTTAAAAATGATGAAAAATTATCAACTCTAGAGAGCATATCAGCTTAGTTAAAAATACATAAAGCCCTATATATGAGATTTCTTACAGTAATTAAACTGCTTCATCTTTATTTATTGCCCAGAGGCACATAATAGATGGCAAACATGCATGTTTTTCAACTTTTAAGTAACTAAACCCTGATTTGTAAAAAGCTCCCATTGATAGCTTTTATGAAAACTCAATTTCAGGCAAAAATAGAAAGCTTTAATATAACAGTCTGTAAATCTATCCAACTGGAAATTTTAATATTAAGTCATAATAGCTGTCTATCTTCTGCTAAGGAGATTTTCTACCATTTTCCATTCCCATTTTGATGTAAGCAATGTCTCCTTGGGAGAGAACAGTATCAGGCAAAGGATATCAAATGCATGGGTAATTTTTATTAGATGTTTCCAAAAAACAGGTAATAGTTACAGAGAATATGAAGTATTATTCAGTAATTTTTAACCATGGTTTAGATAACAAGGTAGATCTGAATCTCATTCAGTCTTAAATGAGAACTTACTTTAGTAAAATCAATGCTGAATCCTCCTTGACAAAATCCCTGTCCATCAGCATCAATATTTTCTAAAATAAAAAGATTGGAAATATACACAAACCCAAAAACAAACATATAACACAAAACAAAACATGAGAAAAATCTGATATCACTGTAAGATAATGTGCTAGTCTCTGAGAGTGTTCATTCATTTAGGCTCTTAACGGGTTATTAACACATTCTTAAAAAGTTAGTATGCATGTTTATCAACACCCATTAATCAGAAATGGCAACACAGAGAGATGAAAGTAACTGGACCAGTCAGCAAGAGGCAGAAAGATCACCTAAGATAGTGAATTTCAAACTTTATTTTTAACTACAGAAAGATTATAGCTTATATCATAGCTCACACAACCCAACATACACACATATTTCATTCCATCTTTTAAAAATTACTGGTTATGACCCATTCTTTGATTTCATTTAACAATAATGAGTCATGATCTTTGAGCTAAAAACTCCAATCTGAAATTTCTAATTCTTACTATTATTTCCCTACAGTTGCTAGGTCTTTGCTAAGTTATTATGAAGACTAATAAGCAGATACCTGCATTCCAATACATTTACAGCCAACAACAACAACAAATCTGAAAAAAACATAGTTCAGAATTTGGGGAGATGACCTAGTTGAATGTTCTGCAAAAAGAGCAAAATATACCCTTAAAACACATTTAGAAAGCCAACTTTTTAAAACGTGACACTTTTAAGTATTTTCCAAATGATGACAGACTCAACTGTTTTACTCTTTTACAATTACCCCTTTTCCTATAGTTCTCACAAAGGGGACAATTAGCCAACTAATTTAAATTAGATCTAATCACAAGTAATACTGTACCTAGAATAGAGGTAACAGTGAGCAAGTCTTTTCCTTGTTTTATTTTGAGGATAATAAGAGCAATGAAAAACAGCTACTCTTTAGTCATCAAGGAATTATTGTAGTCAATGCCACAATATCTAAATAATTATGATATAATATTCCTGTATTTGCCACCCAAATACAGTAACCAAAAGTATCTACTTTCAGTCATAAGGACAACTTGCAAGAATTTTTGTCAAATACTCCCATCAAAAATTTTGAACCCATTTTTAAAACCTGGGAACTGCCCTAAGATTCACACTTAATATCTAAATTTAGAAATTTTTTTAGAAAATAGCCTCAAGAGTATAATGCTCCCCCAATGTAAATTTTTCTAACCAAGAGGGAATGGGAAAATGTAGGTCTGGGGTTTCCAGCGTCTAGTGAATCATAGTAAGGAATTCTGCTCTGACCTCAAGCCAGCCTTTTATTTCCTTTATTTGAGTTGCATCTGGGGAACTCTTTTAAGCTATTTATAAAGACATCCTTTTTTTATTATCTTACTGTACAGTTATCTACTTTATTTGGTTTCCCAGAACATCCAACTAGAAAACATTACTGTCCTTTAAAAATTTAACAGGTACATATTAAACAATGCAAATGTAAAGAATTTTCTGTTGACTATAATCTATTTCAGGGAAGGCTTTTGTTTTTATTTGTAGGGACAGTTAATATTTTTCCTAATCGTTAAGGCTGACAGTATTATAAACAATGTTACTGATCATGATAGTAAAAGCAGCTAATGTTTATTAAGCCCTTACTGTGAGTCCAGTACTGTACTAAAGCACTTAAATTCTTTTCAAATTTACACAGCAAAATTCTATGAGAATAACAGTATCCCTATTCTGTGAGAGACACTATAATTAGTCACAATTTACATGTAAAGAAGCTAAGGCTTACAGAAATTAAGGAGTTTAACCATGGTAAACCTGCTAGTAAATAAAAGAGAGTGGATCTGAGGTGAAGAGTGTCTATACCATCCGGCTGCAGTATCTCAAACCAGCAGTGTATTTGTAATTCCCCGAGCAACCATCAAGGGGAAGAAAAAGAAAACTAGAAATGATACCTGAGAAAAATCTATGTGCAAATAATATTATCATCAGAAAGTAGACAGAAAGAACAAAGACTCAGTCAGAGCATGAAGTTGAAAGACTATTTAAATCATATGATTTGTGGTTCAGGCACTTTTAGAACAGAAAGACATTCAGCCTTTTGTGCGATGCCCAAGAATGGTCATAGATGTAACAATGAAAAGCCAAAAGCAAACATAATCAGTAATAAGGTAAGTTTTTACAGAGACTAAAGTTCCATAGATTCACATAGGTCACAATAAAAACGAAAGCGAATAAACAAACAAAATGAACAACAATGACAAAACCCACAAATTACCACCACACCAAAACAAGCAGTTAACAAGAAGCTGGCAGTGTAGCCCTACACAACTGGCATTCCCATGTAAAATCAGTCACGGGGTTAGGTTACATAATTTATTGAAGTATGAAGAAGCCATAAACCACAAAACTTGCCTCTGAAGTCTTTTGTCTAAATCAGTGTTTTATCAATGATTAATTACCCATGACTACAGATAAGCATGACTGTAGATAAGCAGATAAAAATACAACCCAAGTTCTCAGATTCCCACTCTTGAGTGTGTTCCTCTGGGCAGCTTGCCCCGTGTACTTTAGGCCTGCATGTAGCTTAATATTTCAAAGGTTGAGCCCAAAAATACATACAATGATCAAGAGATACTGAAAGCCAGACTTACTAGGAAGAAGGTATTCACTCTGAATTTTTTTTGAGATTTTTCTCTCTGCTTTTTCTAATACGTGAGGTGTCACTATCGGTAAAGGGCCAGGTAAAAAATGTTCAGGCTGAGGGGCTAGACAGGCTCTGTGGCAAGAATCCAACCCCCCCTTTGCAGATATTAACAGCATGTGAACAAATGGGTGTGGTTATGTTCCGGTCAAACTTTATTTACAAAAACAGGCTCACAAGTATAGTTTGCTGACCTGATTAGGATGTTAAATACTTTGGAAAATTAGTTTAAAATGTCTGTGCTTAAACCAAATAAGTGAAGACCTTATGGAGCAGCTACATCATGCAAACAGCCTTAATCCTCTAAATACACGTTAAGAAAAGAACTGGTCATTAGCGAAGAGGTAAAATGACGAAAAATACTAGGCACACATCGCAGTATATCCTCAAGGGACCATCATCATTAGAATGCTTGTTTTCAGGTTTCTTGTCCTCTTACATCAGGAATTAATCCAAACCTGCACTTGTGAAAGCAGAATATACTCTCTATAGAAAAGCTGTGCTTAGTACAAAGGCAACTGAAATGGAAACCACTTCCTACTGCTAATAATACAGGGAGAGGTTCCTTTGGAATAAGACGGGCCGGGGTTTATATCCGCATTAGATCACTCAGTACCATAACATGCAGGAAAAAATTATGACCTCAATTGTCTAGGTCTCGGTTCCCACATGTATCAGAGGAGAATAAGAATGATTTGCAGGTGTGCCCACCACATAAACAGTAAGTTACAAGTAGGGCACACAATGGTTAGTTCATCCTTGAGAGCTACAAAATTGTCTTTTCATAATAGGAATATTTTTGCAATACAAAAATTAAAAACACCAATTTAGTCCTCACATTTTCCACACACCACCAGACACCAATACCACGACCAAAGCACCAGCAAAAGGTGGTGACAGATGGTGTCAGGAACTGAGGATAAAGCTGCCCATTCCCTCCACCGTGTACGCTGGAGGCCTCCTGCCCTCCCATAATAAACAGTGTGGTTCTGGGTACATATCATTCTTTTCATGTTTACCTCCCACTCACAAAAGTAGGACCAAGGCAGTAGGCCAAGAAAACAAGCATTGAGTAAAATGATTTGCAATTTCTCAGAGGTTCAGCTGCTTAGAATTTTGAAGACTAAGTTAATCCTTTGACCTACTGTCAGAAGTCGCCTGACAAGGAAAAAAAGAGGCTAGCAGTAAGAATCTTACATGCTATGCTTTTGTTATTAATTCTCTCTACTACACTACCTAGTGACCAGTGAAAGAGAAAGAGGAAAGGCCTAAAAAGTGCTCCAGGTATAAACACCACACTGCATTTCAATGAACTATTTGTATGTTTCTGATACGAAGATCTGGGGTGGTGGCCAACTCAATGATGGTGGAGAAGCAAGCACTGCACTCTTCAAGAAGGAAAAAACAAACAGAGTTTGGAAAGCATAATTAAAATTATAAATGCTGAAAGTCATCTTTAGTCACAATATAAATTTCACTGGAAATTTCTAATAATATTAGAGAACAGGGTGAGATCTTTTAGATCATCAAGAGGAGTGAGTCTAGTTAACAGACTGACAAAGAGACTGATTAAAGCAAGGAAATTCAGACTCTGACTCCTAAGTCCAATGTTCTATATTCCTATAAAAAATCGGGCTTCTTAAGATATATATATATTTTTTTACTTTTAACACCATTATTAATATAAAGCTGTAAGTTCTCAAACTTTGGTTTCTATCAGAATTACCTCATAGAGTTTGTTAAAAACGCAGGTAGCTAGGCCTGATCTAGACATGCTGAATCAGAATCATTAGCTGTGGGGCCTGATAGAGAAGTTCAAGGAAGCACCTTTTGACTAATAGTGACTAAAAAATGCAGGCTTCCAAAATCAAATGTTAATTGTTACTGACCAAGGAAAAGGAAAACAACAGTTCTTATGAAGAAAAGATAAGCCTGTTAACTGTATATTTGACATTTCTTTACATTAATAAAACTGCTTTCATTTTGCTCTCTCAAACATGTAAATCCATGGCTGATTCATGTCAATGTATGGCAAAAACCACTACAATACTGTAAAGTAATTAGCTTTCAACTAATAAAAATAAATGAAAAAAAAAAAACCACATCATAGTATGTCTACAAATTTTAACACACACATACACACATATTTTTAACAGCCTAGGCTTCCCAATCCTCTCTGTAAAAGCTAGTACAACTTCCAACACATACTTGATCTGCATGGAGCATACTCAACAGTCTTTGTTCCGTCCTGAAGAAAGCATGTTCCAACAGGCTCTCTTTCCTGCTTCACCTCAGTCCTCCAGTGATACAGTGGGGCACAGGCCTGGAATCAGAGGGGGGAGTCCATGCATAAACATTTTCTGAAAAAAATTAGTGCTTCAGACAATATATAACATCCTTTTATAAGCATTAACAAAAATTAATCAAACCTATACTCTTAAATTCCTTTTCATAGTAGTGGATAAAGATTTTTATAAGTACTCTTCTCACATGCTTCTAAAGGCCACATGTGTAGTCTAGGTTTTTGTTGTTGTTGTTTTTTTTTTTTTTCAAAATAGCAAAATCATTATTTCATGCAGTACCTTTTTGATTTTAGGTACCAAACTGAAGGTCACAGACCAAAGTTAGACTTTTAATATAGCTCTAAGCTATACAGCAAATAATTTATCAAATAAGAAGAGAGTAAAAGAATTTGCAGCACTTATTTTATTTACTTTTCAAATGAACTATGACCTTTTTGCTTTCAGGCTATGGATTTCAACACTGTGTATAAGTGGTAGAATGCATGTTTTAATAGCATAGTAATCTACCAAAGTATAACAATTCAATTTGCTGGGGAGGGGGGGGAATCAATGAATTTTCTATAATATCCTTTGAAGCAAAACATTTAAAACAAATACCGCAAACAATACCGGGCTATATTTACCCTAAAAACTGAAAGTAAGCAATTGCTACTACTTCTCTACATGTACCTGATTTCCAGGGTGGAGTATTTGCCACTTCTGCGTATTTTTGCTTCCCTCTACCTCTTTCTGCCTAGAATGCCACTACTCTCAACTCCTCCCCTCACCGCTAACTGCAATTTGACACATTCTTAAGCTCCACGGAAATTTCACTTCCTAAACAAACCCTTCCTTGATGCCCCACAATCCAATGGGGAAGAAAGAAAATAATAAACAATACGCAGCTAATTAAAATAGGGAAGGGCTCTCTGAGGAAATGAAAGTAGAGCTGAAATCTGACTGAGAAGGAGCCAGCTCAAGTGAAAAGCAGTAAGTTACACCTAAGATAAGCAGAGGGACAAACACCAAGGAACTAACTGACATGACTTGGTATGGAAGGAATCACAAGGTGAGTGTAGCTGCAAGTCTCAGATGGAGAGAGATGACGGCAAAGAGACAGCAGCCAGTGACTGGACTGCGAAGATGCTGATAAAAGCCAGGATGAAGACTAAGAGTGATGTTTTTTTATTCTGAGAGTGACGTTCAGTTCAGTTCAGTCGCTCGGTCGTGTCCGACTCCCTGCGACCCCATGAACCGCAGCACGCCAGCCTCCCTCTTCATCACCAACTCCCGGAGTCCACCCAAACCCATGTCCATTGAGTCGGTGATGCCATCCAACCATCTCATCCTCTGTCGTCCCCTTCTCTACAGATGCTCCAAACCACTGATGAGACTTAAACTCCAATGGATCATCCTTGGCATAATCTCTGTTGCCTAAAATAAAATAAAATAAAATTTAAAACATTTTTAAAAAGCATGAGGGGTGAGAATCAAAATATGCTTTCTTTGTATAACAGAGTTTATTTCAACTCAGTGAGGTTTACAAATAGTATGCCTCTGATTAGTCAAATTTGGCTACTAATTTCATACACTTTAAAACATTATATACTTTATACTTTCAACTAATCAGAAAAATGAAATGCAAGATGACTTGGAAGTGTCTCAGATTTGTTAATAGCCCTATCAATTGTCATAATATAGATGTGTAAAAGTCACAATAAGTGACATTTTCCAGTTGCTAAATTATAAGATAATTAACTATTAAATATTTTCTGTATTCCCCAAAGTTCTTTCTGTAGCATAAAGATATTTCTGAAAATAGAAGGCTATGAAACACCTTTACAGAACACCAGCAGTTAAAGACTAAAGTAAAAGACTAAGATCTTGCCAATGACATTATACCATGAGTCAGAATCCAGGAGACATTATTTGGCTGGTAGGAAAGACTTAGATTTGGCACACCACATACAAACATTTATTTTTAAGCATACATTACTGAAAAAATTATTTCGAGTATACCAAGTACTAGTAAAGCACTGTAGATTTTAAAAGAAAAAGATAAAAATCTTTTCCATGAGAAAGTTCTTGATCAGCTCAATGAAAAAAAAATTACAGAAATAAATGCATAAACTATTAGGAGAGACTATTCTTAAAGACTAGTCTTTGTTCCTCTTAAAATCTACTCATAATAATAATTCCTTATAAACATATATTTCAATAACTATACTGAAGAGATTTATCAGACCAGTGTCAGCTTTAAGAATGCCAGCCAGTATGTAAATATCACTAAAAGGTTTGATTAAATCTACTCTCTAAATCTCAACCTTCCAAGATAGTGCTTATGGTTATTCAATTCCATTCTGAGGAATTTTTAGATCAACTGAAGAATTATAAATAATTAATGATCATTTCAATAATGCCAGACATTTCATAGGCAAGATGAAGGACATATTAGCTATACAGTTCTTTGAACTTTTCTGTTGTTTTTGCAAAAAAATAAACAATTTTAATTGTCACTCTCCAAAGTCCTCTATCTGTAGTCTAAACACCACTCACTTTTGTCAGTGGTCACAAAGCACCTTTTTATTAGCAAAGGGAGGGACGAAGGAAGGATGAATGAACTAACTAATATATGCCTTTTACCAAGTAAATCAAGGTTTCCCAACAGTGGTTGGCTTGCCTTTGATGCCTATGTTCACATACCGACCTCACTGGAAACAAGACACATCGATGACCTAAAGGTCCCCTAATGGCTCAGATATGCAGATGACACCACCGTTATGGCAGAAAGTGAAGATGAACTAAAAAGCCTCTTGATGAAAGTGAAAGAGGAGAGTGAAAAAGTTGGCTTAAAGCTCAACATTCAGAAAACTAAGATCATGGCATCTGGTCCCATCACCTCATGGGAAATAGATGGGGAGACAGTGGAAACAGTGTCAGACTTTATTTTTTTGGGCTCCAAAATCACTGCAGATGGTGACTGCAGCCATGAAATTAAAAGACACTTACTTTTTGGAAGGAAAGTTATGAACAACCTAGACAGCATATTTGAAAAAAGCAGAAACATTACTTTGCCAACAAAGGTCCATCTCATCAAGGCTATGGTTTTTCCAGTAGTCATGTATGGATGTGAGAGTTGGACTATAATGAAAGCTTAGAGCTGAAGAATGGATGCTTTTGAACTGTGGTGTTGGAGAAGACTCTTGAGAGTCCCTTGGACTGCAAGGAGATCCAACCAGTCCATCCTAAAGGAGATCAGTCCTGGGTGTTCATTGGAAGGACTGATGCTGAAGCTGAAACTCCAATACTTTGGCCACCTCATGCGAAGAGTTGACTCATTGGAAAAGACCCTGATGCTGGGAGGGATTGGGGGCAGGAGGAGAAGGGGACGACAGAGGATGAGATGGCTGGATGGCATCACCAACTCGACAGGCATGAGTGTGAGTAAACTCCGGGAGTTGATGATGGACAGGGAGGCCTGGCGTGCTGTGATTCATGGGGTCGCAAAGAGTCGGACACAACTGAGCGACTGATCTGAGCTGAACTGAACGGTCCATGTGCTCCCTTAACATTTCCCATCCTCCCAGTTAGGTTAAAGCCACACAATTCATTTTAATCAGTAAGTTAAGTGCAGAAGTGGCATGTGTTCCTTCCAGTTCAAGTCAGTTAAGAGTGGATATGAGTTCAGTGGTCATCAAGTAAATGCACATCAAAACTACAATAAGGTGTCATCTCATACCAGTTAAGAAGGCTATTATCAGATGTGGAGAAAAGGGAACCCTGATACACTGATGGCTGGCAATGTAAATTGGTGCAGCCATTATGGAAAATGGTATGGAAGCTACATAAGAAATTAATAATAGGACTATTATGGCATGATCTGGCAATTCCACTCTAGGCATATACCTGAAGGAAATATACCACTATCTTAAAGCAATATCTGTACTCCCTTGTTCACTTACGTAACATTAACAACAGTCAGGACATAGAAGCAACTTAAATGTCTATGGTCAAATGAATTAAAAAAAAAAAAAATACAGTCTATAATTAAAATGGAATATTATTCAATCTTAAGAAAAAAAATCCTGCCATGTCCACCATGTCTAGATGGCTGGATCTAGAAGGCATTATGTTAAGGGAAATAAGCCAGACACAGAAAAACAAATGCTTCATTATATCACTTATATATGAAATCTCAAATTGTCATTTCATTTTTAAAAACAAAGCGAAACAAAAACAGTGGGTATAAATTCTCCATGTTTTCTTTCTCCCATCTATGAAACTGAAAAAAATAGATGGTGTGGAATTCCTTAACGAAAGAAGCCACAGTTCGAGTTTCTAAACCATCAAAAACAGCCAAATGGTCAACACAAGATGATGACATGAGCAAGAAATTATCCTTTTTTAAGTGAGTAAGATCTGGGTGTTTGTTTAAGGGAAAAAAAAAAATGTTGTTACTGCAGTACAGCCTAGCACAGTTTGAGCAACATATATTCTAAAAACAAAATGCTAAAAATGGCCTGACCTACAACTGCAAAGAAGCTTTGCCCTTGAAAGAACTGGATTCAATTAATAGTTTTTTCTAGGATTTTAGCCCTAAAATGTATGATTATAAGTTGTGTAATAGGATTTTTAAAAATTCCACTGCAAGCTGAGTTCTCTCACTAGCTTTCTATTCTATTCTTTTCTACGAAGGAAATAAAGGCATCCCCCTGCCCTTACATTAATGAGAAATACAGTATGAACCTGAAACAGTTGGTGCTTGGAGGGATACACTTCCAGTCACTATCACTTGCCACCATAAGAATCATGATAAACTCAGGTAAGCTTAGCCTGAGGGAACCGACTTTATGAACTTACACATCTGAGCAGAAAGCATAACATTGTCACAACTGCTGCCTTCTGCTTTCATTTAAAACAGCCTTTTCAGCAAGACCCTAAAGATATCCAGGCAGAAGCAAAACTTCTCTGTATTTCTATATTTTGTTCTTTAATGAATGAAAGTACCACATGAGAGAGGTGCAACTCAAATTAATTCAAATTATGGCTCTATACAGTTCCTCATACTCTAATAAAACTTCAATTAAAAAAAATGCAGACACAACATCATTATATTCTTGCAAATAATATAAAAATAAAGACAAAAAATTTTTTTTTAATTTTTAAAAAGACAAATAAAAACGGTAAGATTCAAGATTAAAAGAGAACGAGACATGACAATCCAAGGCAAGATATGATCCTTGACCGACTCTTTCATCTGAAGAAATTTTTTCAAGTTACAAAGGACTTTATTAGATAACCATATTGTAATAATGACACATTTCTAGTCTGTGATGATGACAGTGCTTTGGTTATATAAAGGAAGGTCCTAGTTATGGGGAACTATCTGCTATGGGAAGTATTCTGGGGGTAAAGTTTCACAATGTCTGCAAGAATACTTGAATCTAGGTGAAGGGGATACTGTTAATTACATTACAGTTTCAAATTTTCTGTAAGCTTAAAATTTTGCAAAATAAAAGTACAGAAGTCAGCAAGTACAAATTGTATGTACTATTGGCCAACAACAGAATATCTTTTATTTCTCTTTATTTGCACTCTTTATCATGTTTACTCTGGGCTTCCCAGGTGGTGCTAATGGTCAGGAATCCACATGCCAATACAGGAGATGCGGGTTCAATCTCTGGGTTACGAATATCCCCTGGAGGAGGAAATGCCAACCCATTCCAGTGTTCTTGCCTGGAAAATTCCATGGACAGAGTCTCGC